AAGAAGGAACTCAGAGTGCTTATGGTGTCAATCATCCACTGTCTAGATGCCTGGGACCAGCATATTTGCCCAGCCTGGTTTAGTACTACAAGACTCCATCATGCTGTCGCCATCCTCTCTCCATCCTGCCCCTCCACCAAGTCCTCCCATCTAGGAAAGGGCTTGGTACCCTCAGAACTCTGAGTCATCTCTGCTCCCATCTTCCCACTCCAAGCCTCCTGCATCCAAGTCATTCATTGTGCTCCCAGAAGCACCCCTGGAAACCTCCATTATGACCTCCCTGTGACTTTAAAGGGTGGGAAGGAGGAAAAGCAAGATGGACCAGAATGAGGACAGTGTAAGGACTAGAACATGACCAATCAGAATGTCACAGGCACAGCCAACCAGAAGGCTGCTTTTTTTTTTTTTTGGTAGTACTGGAATTTGAACTCTGGGTTTCATGGGCTTCATGCTTGCTAGGCAGGCACTCTACCACTTGAGCCACTCTGCCAGCCCCAGCCCCAGAATGCTGCTTTCTACACAACTAATTAGCATAGAGATTGAGCAATGCCCTGGAGAAAATGAGTAAAAACCTCAGCTCAAGTCACTTCTCTGGGGACCCCTCCTCCCTTCATGCAGGAGCTTTCATTCTTTAACTTCATAAACTTTCCTACCTCTGTGCTCACTCTTCATTGTCTGAGAAGTTCAGTCCTCAGTTTTGTGAGATAAGAACCCAGATGCCAACCCTCCCTCTGGCTACACACCTAAGCCAGCAAGGTGAATGGAGGCTTGCGGTCCTACACAGAGCTCGCATTTCAGATCTACCCTTCCACTCAATCCCAGTGCCACCATGTCAGCTCAGACCTCACCACCCCTCACCTGGTCCACTGACACAACCTCCTCCAGGCTCCACCCCATGGCTTCTGCCTGCCCTCCTTAAATCAGTCCCCTTGATCTTTGGGGCGAAGTCCAAGTTTTCTGGATGAACATCACCACCCCGGCCATCTTCTACCTCACCTCCCCGGCCCCACCTATCCCCAGACAGGATACCACATGAAGAATTTGCCTCAGCTCTGTAACACACAGATGCACTGTTCCCTGTGTCCAGATGTTTGGTAAACTCTTCTTCCTCCAACAAGACCCAGGCAAAAGGTCACCTCTTCCATGAGGCCAACCCTGATTTCCCCAGCAAAAGCAGCCTGTGGATCCCTGTTCTATGCTGCCATAGAATGTGCCATCTAACCCAGAGCTTATCCCACTGCGTTTTCTGAGTCAGGGTGTCTGTCTCCCCCAGAGGCAGTGAGCAACATGGAGGAGGATCCCACTTTATTGTACATGGAATCCACAGCACCTACACACTAATGTTTGCTCACATAGGTGCCCAACACACAATATTGTTTATTAAGCACTGTGTGGCAGGCCCTGAGCTAGATGGCTTATCTAAATTGCCTCATTTGATCCTCAAAATTCCCTCTACCAAGAGTAATTATCTTCCATGAAATATGATACTGAGATTCAGAGAGGCCGAGCAGCTGTTCCAGGTCACACAGCTTATGCCCAGCACTGTCTCGTTCACATTTGGCTTTCCTTCAGGACGCACACCACTGCCAACCCCACTGTGGTTTCCAGGACTAACTAGACCCTGGCTGTGGTAAGCCCTTTGCTCTTTCACTCAGCTAACAAGTTGGAATTTCTTTCTTTCTTTCTTTCTTTTTTTTTTTTTTTTGCTGTGTTAGGGATGGAACCCTGGGTGGGCCTTGTACCACACGCTAGGCAAGTGCTCTACCACTGAGCTATACCCTAGCCCAGTTGGGATTTTTTTTTTTTTTTTGGTGGTGGTGGTACTGGGGTTTGAACTCAGGACCTCATGCTTGCTAGGCAAGCATTCTTTGGAGGAATTTTTAAGAGGAAAAGACATACATACACAAATATACACACACACATACACACACTTTTTTTTCAGGTCCTCCCTTTGAGTTGTTACTTCCTCCCTTCTAAAACCAGGTGAGACTAGGTGGCCTCAAAGACCCTTATCAGTCTGCTTGCCTGTGATTCCATGGTAGTTTTCTTAGATGGACAGGGGGCCGGTGAGCTCTGGGGGAGGGCAGGGCAGTCTCCTAGGGACACTGCTGCCTGAGGATGATAGAGTGTGCTGACTAGCCTGCCACTCCCTTCTATTATTTGACATTGGAGGTCCAAATGGAGAAAAGGAAAACTTGCCTAAGAGACTTCTGAGCCCCCTCTCCAGGGCCCTCTGAATCCCTGACAAAGGAGTGCTGACAGGGCAGGAGCCAGGGCTGCACAGAGCTTGGGATCCAGACCTGTGTGCCTCTGGCTGCAAGAAGTGTCCTGTGCCCTCTTCCAGTCTCAGTCTATGCCTCTCTGGGCTTCCTGCTTGACCTCCTAGGCCCTCTCTGGACCTCCTCCTCACTCTTGCAGTGGGGCCTTCTGGAAAACCCCAGTTTGTGCCGCTGACACATAAGGGGGAAGGGGGGAGGCCTCCTGGGCGAGTTCCTGCAGAGGCTGGAGCTCTCAGCTGTAGCCCAGGAGCCTCAGTCACTTCCCTTCCCCCGCCCACCCAGCTGGGAGGCCGAGAAGTTTCATCACAGCTAAACTATTGTCCTTATAAGGGAAGGCCTCCAGAGCAGCTCCCTAGGGCCACAGCTGACTTTTGGACAGCCAGGCTGGGTTCAGGGCATCCTTCAGATGTGAAAGGTGGGGTTGCCCCAAGCCTAAATCCTAGAGCTGAACCTCTACCTAAAGTCACAGGCCCTTCAGAGAGAAATAGCAGGGAGTCCTCAGCTGTGGCCTAGGCCAGGACCCTCAAGGGGTCAACTCCCAGGTCCTGGTACTATTCTCTTTGGTCTCCTAGGCAAGTTGCTTAAGTCTCACTTTCCTAAACTGTAAGATAGAGTAAGCGTTATACTTTCTTCGTCAGGTTTCTGTGGTGACAAGAGAACAATAAATCCAGCAATAGTAGGTACTTCGCGAGGTCAGGCTGCTGGTGCTTATCAAGCTTTCTCTATGAGGCAGGCTGTGGGCTAAGTGTCCATGACAACCCTATGGAGGAGGGAGAATAAGTCCATTTTATAGATAGGAAAACAAAGGTACAGTTAGCCTGAAGTCACTCTTGGCTTGGTTGGCGTGTGTGTGTGTGTGTGTGTGTGTGTGTGTGTGTGGTAGTGTGGGTGGAACACAGGGCCTAGCACATACTAGGCAAGTGCTCTACCACTGAGCTATACCCCTGGCTCCTCCTAGGCTTAAAATCTAGGTGTGTCTGCCTCCAAATCTAAAGTCATGCTTTTTCTATCCCCTGCTGTTTCCTAGAGGAATTTTGTTTTATGGTAACAGGGTGGAAATTCTGCCTTCACCTCTCTACGTTCCCTCACATAGTCTCTGTCAGAGTGAGTTTTCGTGGTCTTTTCTGACAGCCACATTGTCTGGGACCTTAGAGGAGTGGTTGGGGAAAGACAGGACTTGGAGAAGGCACAAAACAGTGTCTCTAGAGACCAGGGTCCAGGTTCAGATGGATGTAGGGGCAAACAGGATGTCCCTCCCAGCTGGTTCTCCCCTGTTCCTGGGTCTTGTCTGAAGGTAGCCACCGTGTGGTTTGCAAAACCCTGCACCGTAACTACCCACAGGACTTCAGGCCAGAGGTGTCGCAGCCTGTGTTCAAAAAAGCAGGCTTCCAGCCCCCAAGGCCTGAAGGCAAGAAAGTCCTTACCACATCCTTCCTCAGCCCTGTGGTTTGCCACCAACACCAATCCAGCAACTGCTCCCTTCAAGGTGGACAGGGGAACCTAGTTCCTGGTCAAGGTTGAAGGGACGCTCCCATCAATAAAAAGACTCCTCTCAGATGAAGGCCAGTGAAGGTAAAATGGTTCATCTGAGGTCCCCAGCTTTTGCAGGCTACTCACTCAATATGGCTGTCACATACCAGGCCAGTGACAGGGGAATTCATGAGGGACACAGGGTCATAGCCACAGTTGATAGGTCCTGGGTCAGGTGCTTCCTGTTATGTTGGCCACAGGGCCTGTCCAATGGCCTCACAGAGAAGAAGGAAGGGAGCCAGCCTTTGGCAAGCACAGTGGTACTTTCCCACGAGGTGTGGAGGGGAACATAGCATTGTAAATGCCTTTTGTGGGTGAGGAAACTGAGGCCTCATAGGACTGAGCCTCATAGGTAGTTCCTGAGTGGACCTGAACCTTGGCAGCCTGACTTGGAGCTCTGCCCACTGGCTCAAGGGCTTCCCTGGGAACCCTTGGGGTGCTGAGATGTGTCAGGGCTCTAGAAGCATAAAACAGGACTCAGGATCATCCTTAACCAAAACCAAGCTCTGACAGTAAGAGAACAGCTGGAATCACTATTTTGGAACCAATTCAGGAAACACCTGTTCAGCAAGACACATCAATGAATTGTAAATCTGGGGAAAACTGTAGTGAGTATAACGTATTAGTGCATGGTATTAAGATACTTCCTACAGATTGCTTGTTAGTTGCAAAAGACAAAAAAAATTATACAGTAGAAAAGTCAGATACTACCCAGGTGATCAAATTGAACATCACTGGGGGTGTAGTCCGTGGTAGTGTGTACTTAGCATCCACAGGGCCCTGGGTTCAATCCCCAACACCTCAAAACAAACAAAAAACATCATTACTGAGATGTGGAAATATGTCATGTCTCCAAATGTGATACTCTGAAAAAGATTCAATATCACCCATTCAGTTTTCTAGCTAAGAAATCCATAACCTCAATCCAATCATGATGAAACTTCAGACAGACCCCAAGTAAGGAATAGCCTATTAAAAGGGGGTGGGAGGGGGGAGAGATGGCCCAAACAATGTATGCATATATGAATAAAGAAACCAAAAATAAATAAATAAAAAGGAGTGGGGAGGAAGACAGGTGTGGTAGCAGTCAGTTGTAATATCAGTACTTGGGAGGCCGAGGCAGGAGGATCTTGAGTTCTGAGCTGGGGAGGATGAGGACGGAGGACTGTGCCTTTGTCCTGAAAGACAAATACATATTGTGGAAATGTTTCAAATTAAAGGAGATTAAAGAAAGATGACAATTTGACAATTGTATGCAATATACTTGACCCTCGCCAGAAGAAAAAGGATTAAATGACAAAACTGGGCTATTAATGCTAAATTTGTAGACACTGATAACTGTACTAGTTACATGAAAGAACACACTTACTTTTAGCAGATCCATATTGAAGCATTTAGGAATAAGGGACCATGATAACTAACTTTTCAATGATTCCCAAAAAATAATGAGAATAGAGCTGTGGGTGTGTTCTCTGTACTCTTCCTATTTTTACAACTTTTCTCTGTTTAGATTATTTCCAAACAAAAAAGTTTTTAAACTGGGAAAGCACTGTTCCTTATGACACTTCGGCGTAGTGAGTAGAAACACTGGGGGGCGGTGAACTTGCCAGAGCCTGGCTGAGGTTAGTAAGGATCACAAGTGGGAGGGGCAGGACCTCCAGCCCAACCTATGGAAAGGCACCCTAGAACCAAGTTTGGGGGGCTGGTGACACCACTGACCAACTGCCACCTGCCCTCTGCTCCCTCCAGGCCAGTCCTGGAACTGATTCCCAAAACAATGAACAGGCTTGGAGCAGAGAAGTTGTGTAAAAAAGGATTTATTGCCAAACTTCAAGAAGGACGCTTCATAAGCAGAAGACACTGAATGCCTCCTCCTCAGGAGGCAAGCAGGCAGTCCTGTGCGTCCCCTCCACCTCCCCACCCTGGAAACTGGCTACCTCCTTGGGGCCCAGATAGCCAAAAGCACAGGTCTAGTGTTTTGGCCATTGAGGTGGCCTTAGGGCTACTTGCCCAGCCAGTTGCTTAACAGAAGAGGAAGCTGGAGCTTCAATTCCTGGAAGCAGGTGACTTGGTTAAGGCCCTGGTTGCTGGTGGGGGAAGGCTGTTCCCTAAGGAAGATGGCAAGGGATCACATGACTGGGCACCTGAGGACATTCTTTCTCTTGTACAGGAGACAGACAGAAAGGCAGACTGTGGCATAGAAGCCTTAAGAGCGTGGTTGGGGAGGGCAGTGGGGGCTCACCAGCCATGGCATTGCTCCTCACCTCTGCCCCTTCGTGGCCCAGACTACAGAGTGCAGGCCTACCCCTCCTGACCCCATCCGCTACCCTCAAGAACAAAGTTACAGTACAGCAATGAAGTCATCAACTTGTGCGGGCAGGTCTCAGTGGGCATGACTGGCAGCTGGTGGTAGGGTAAGTGGGCAGAAAGGCCAGGGGAGGCTGCTGTGACCCTCCCTTCTCATCTTCCGGTAAACCAAAGTGCACATGCAGACTCCTCAGGGGAGGACCTGTCACAGACTCCTGCTTCCCGACTCAAGCTCCACCCTGGTTGCAGTTGCTACAGCATGGTGTGATCTGGGTGGTCCCAGAGCCAGAGGTTAGGGGGGCACTGGAAGAGGACCAGGAAAGGGAGAGGAGAAAATATTCTTCCTATTAGGAGTTTAAGAAGGGGCTGCCCACCAGGGGCCTGGGGTGGGGGGGAGATGTCACAGATTCCACCCTGTAAAAAATGATGGGGACACTGGACCTTTTGGGCTGAGGAGGAACCAAAGAGACCCAAATAAATCTTATCTGGGAGGCACAGAAGTCTAGGGACGGGTGGGATTCTTTGATTTATGATAATCACAGGTAGGCTTTTCAGATGTTGACACGGGGCTACTCTAGGGTTTGCCTCTTCAGGAATGTGCAAGGCTGGACACAAGCTGGTCCAGGAGCAGAGACTATACTAGGAGACCCTTTGAGTTCCTCTTCTTCCTTCCTCTTCTGGAATGAGAGCCTCCAATCACAGCTTGCCAAAGGGAAAGGAGCTGCAGACAATGTCCTCACTTTGCAGGAAAGGAAACAGGCCTAGAGAAGGTCACACGGGCACCAAGCTTCCTCACACAGATGCTCATCTCCAGCTGGGCCCCAGGTTTCACGTAGCTGAAAGATGACCCCACAGCCTGGACCACAGGCTTTTGCAGCTACTCTGATTAGGTGGGAGGGGCTGGCTGGAGGTTGCATGGGGGCTCAGCTGTGCTCTACTCAAAAGGCAAGAATGTAAACTGCAGGGAATGGGGAACAGAGAAAACCAAGAAACTCCCAGCACTGTGCCAAAGACCTGGGGCCATTTGGAACAACCACACAGGGCCCAAGTATGTGTGCTCCAGCCCAAACCAGAGCCCGAAGGCAAGCCAGACCAGGGAACCAGAAAGTGGCCCTGGGTGACACCTGGCACCACTGGCCAGCACAGGGTGGGAAGGACACCAGGAGTCTCTTCAGGTGCTGGCCAAACCTGACATGCCCCTTCTACAACTGAGCTATAGCACATTTCTCAGCAGGGCTGGGCTGTGCCTCTGCCCCAGCAGGCCTAGGGTGCACTTCTCCTGTAGAGGGTCACCAACTCCTTCTGCTTCTCCCTTAGCCCAGGAGCTTCCTGGCTCAGCTCTCCCAAATCCCTCATTTCCTGCAGGACCTGGGTGACCTGCCGCAGCTGCTCCACGGCCTGGCTGAGCAATGCCTCCGTATTCACAGGGGGAGGCTCGCTGCCCAGCATCGTGTTTAGCAGTTTCTCTGTCTGTTCTGAAGCCACCTTTACCTCCAGCTGGGCCCGATAGAGCCGTTCCTTTGGCAGCTGAGGACGCTGGGGGACTTCTCCAAGCAGGTTCCCAAGGGAGGAGCAGCGGGGATGGAACTGAGCTGGCAGATCCCAGGAGGGCAGTGCTGGGGACTTTGTAACGTCCTCTGGGGACGTTCCTGGGGTGCCAGCGGCCTGAGGTGGCTGCACGGGCTCAGGACCCTCACCCACACCATTCACTGAGACCTGAACTGGGCCTGGGGCGGAGGTCTCAGGGGCCCCAGGACTCGGGCCCGGCCCAGAACTTTCCATTCCACTCAGGCAGGCCTTCATTTTCTCTGATAAGATCTTGGGTGGGGGTGCAGGGGGCTTCTTAACCTCCTTAGGTGCAGCCTCCAGAGCCTCAGAGAAAGACACCTGGGACAGTTCTGTGCTTTCAGGAGCAGGGGCCTCCTCCAGGCTGGAGTTATCCCAGCTCACCTTCAGTTTGTCAGGCAAGAAGCTGCTGGGGGGCTGCTTAGAGCCACTGTCCTCCCCCACTGGGGTCTCCGAGTCCTCTTGGCTCTCAGGCTGGGCCTCAGTGCTGGCTGAGGTGGGAGTTGGGGTGCTCTCCCCCACAGGCATCTCCACCCCATCACCAAGGCTAGATGTGTCGGGCAACGGGGAAGGCTTGGTGGAAGGCAGGAGGGGCAAAGGTGTCTCCCGGGGCTGGGTGGCGCTGACATCATTGCTGGGTGCAAACACTGGTGGTCCACTGTCCGGAACTTCAAGGTCTAGGCGCAAAAGCCCATCAGAAGCTGCACTGGCTACCTGGTAAGGGGACGGTATGCGGGTGTCATCTTGACTGACTGGCCATTGGATCAAATATAGGTTCCCCCAAAGTCGTCTCAAGCTACTCACTTCTGCTTGGCCTTCTGGAGACCTCTGTCCCATCTGCCAGACCCACCCAGCTGACTGCCAGAGAAGAACAGCTGCACCAAACAGGTGGCTGCCCTATGCCTGATTCCAGGGGTGTCAGGAGTCCCCAGGAACACCCAACAGTCCCACACTCATAGGACTGTCCCATGGAGCCTCAGAGGCCCTGGAGTAGGGCTGGGCAGGAGACTTCTCTCAAGGCCTCTCAGACAGTTGGGGCCCTGGCTGGGACCCTCACTCCCTTTTATAGGTACCATGTGATCTGGCCAATACCTGCTGAGGCATTTGGGACCACCACTGAGATAACTCTCCAACACACACACACACACACACACACACACACACACACACACACACACCACTGCTCCCTCCCTGAGTTCTCAGAGGATCCCTTGACTGTCCAATGCTGCCCCTCTCCCTCCACTCCTCCAAGTCTTCACCTTAGTCCTGTTCTCTCTGGGACCTTGGTTCCTCTCTCTGCAGCTTCTCTCCCTCAGCTGACAGACAAAAACAGGCTGCCTCATCTCAAAACCAACCTTGTCATGACCTTGGGTCCTTCCCTCCATAGTCCCTCACCTCTGAGGCACCCACAGCTCTATACCCCATGACAGCCCTAAGCTGACTGCTCTTAAAAAATATGCTGCAAATGTCACCACTGCCTTTCCATCAGCTCTGCCCTTGTCACCTGTGGCTGCCAGGTCCTGGGCCCATCCCTCTGGGCATGCCCTTGCTTCCCTGGCTTCTAACTTCCTTTGCTACTACTGGAGGTCCCCTTTAGCCCCTAAATGTCTCATTTACTGAGGTTCTTCCCTGGCCTCCAAAATCTCCCCATCAGCTCCACTGGTCTGAAGGCCGTTCCTCCTTACTTCTTCTTCTTGCCCATACCTTCTCCCAAATTGCCCAAGCCTAGGGCCGCCCTCTAGTCTGCTCCCGGCCTGTGACACCACTGGCCACACTTTGATCTGTCCAATCCTGATTTTCAAGCACAAGCCAGGGTGGTTCTTGCTTCCCATTGTCTTTCATTGGCCCCTCCCTCTTCATCCCCCTCTGAAGCCTAAGGGTCCCCTCCCCCACTCCTTCCAGGCCCCTGCCTTTTCCTCTTTCAACCCAAGCCTCAAACTGACCTCTGCAATGCTCCCTCCCATCTTGTCCCCAACTCCTGAATCTAGGCCTCCACAATTTCTTTCCGCAGCCCCACCTCTCCAGACCAATCTCCAAGTCAATGGAGCCTCTCAGCACACCCTGACTATATCATTCCTCCACCCAGAGCTCCCCTCACTTCAGGTCTGCCCACTGAAACTCTTCTATTCTTCAAGGAGTCAGCTCAAATGCCAGTGGGTTCTCCATGGTCCATTTTCCCCACCCTCCCTCAGCTCTGACTGGAGCAGGGGGCAGTGAATAGCCTCCTGGGCCTCAGTTTCCCTCTGGTCCACTCTGGCTCAGGCCATTATGTGGACCACAAGTGAAAAAGTTTGTGGTTTCAGGGACATCTATACCCTGAACATAGACAACACAGTGGCCTCCATTATCCTTGCCGGATACCTCTCAGCAAGCCCCAGTTTCGGGTGGCCTCAGGAAAGAGGTGGTCCCAAGCATGTCTCCCACCCTACGGAGCTAAGGTATCAAGCTCAACTGACTGCCCACTGACCCAGCTAAGGGCAAGGCTTTACCTCCTTCAAGTGGACTCTCGTTGGTGGCCGCCGCCGCTGGCCACCCCGAACCCGGTCCCTTGTCACGTGTTCCAGAGCACAGCTCTTGTCCACCTTTACCTGGGGAGAGAAGGAAGCAGGTCAGCCCCAGACAGGCCTTGGGGAGAGTTGAAAGCACTCAGAATGAGGATCTGCACTCCACAGACCTGAGATGTCTCCCTGCTTCTGAACCTCTGCCTTCTCTTTGTGTCTATGCTGCCACTAGTGATCCCTCTGCCAAGCCTGGAGCTCTGCTGCTCTCTCTAGCTGCCCTCTTTGCCTCAGTCTTCACACCCAAACATGGGCTCTCAGCCCTTCCTCTTGGTATAGTGCAAACATCTAAGCAGCCCTGGGGAAATGGGGAGAAGCCTAGCACTAGCACTAGTACCTGGCTTCCAGAAAAGGCCTAACTTGGCCTCTGCCATTCTCCCAGCCCCTGAGGATAGCCTACGAAAGAGCAGCCTAGAAAGAGCCTCTGCTGGCTGGGGCTGACAGGGTGGAGGTTGTTGGCTCTTCTCAGAGGGTCAGGAAAGGGGGTCAGCAGTAGCTGGAAAACCAGAGTGAGATTCACATGGGAAGTCTGCTCTCTGAACCCCAGAGCAGCCTGTCTCTATGATGGAATGGACCTGCAATGTCCCTCTTCTCCATGGAGAGCCAGATGGAGTCTCCTCTGCCAGAACTAAGGGCTCAGGCCCAGGCCATGGTTCTTGTGACCTCTGCAAACACTCACAGTGTGGCCCATCAGACCTTACCCAAATCGGAAGACTGTCCTCAGGTAGTAAGAGGCTGAGTATGACGCAGTGGCACAGAAGAGAACACAAGAGTCACGGGCTAGGTGTTAAGAGGAGACTCACGTGGAAAGGTCCTCTCCTCTCAGGTCTCATCTTCTGTAACCCAAGGGGTCACAAAAGTGGTCCTCAAGCACATTTTAGTCCAAGTAGCTAAGTATCCATGATGTCAAAGACAAATTGTCCCTAGAAATCCTGGCCAGTGGGACACCCTACCTGCCCCAAGCCTGACTATAGCCACTGTTGCAACAGTCACCACTACAGCATGGACTGAGGAGGGACGTGGCTCAAGTAGTAGAGCTGCCTAGCAAGTGTGAGACCTGAGTTCAAGCCCCAGTGCTGCCAAAAAAACAAAAACAAAACATGAACTCAGGGCTAGAGGGCAAAAGGTCATTGTAGACACAGGAAACACAGGGCTACAAGCCAGCTAGCCTGGATTTTATGAGCAAACTGAAAAAGGAGCTCTCAGCTCACCCCCTAGACTGGCCCCCTCCTGTTGCCAACTAAGGCTGGGCTGGAAAGGATGCACAGGCTGAAGTCAAATTCTACTCCTCCACCTACATGCTTCTGTTTTGTTTTGTTTTTGCAGTGCTAGGGATCGAACCCAAGGCTTTATGCATCCTAGACAAGTGCTCTGAGCTATAGCCCCAACCCAAGTGCTTTTTAATTTTAAAAAAGTTACTGAATTTCCCTATTTCTCACTTTCATCTATAACATGGAGACCCCACCACCCATTTTGAGGGGCTACTGTGAGGATTAAATGAAGCATTCCCCAGTGTTTGTAGCAGTGACATGATGGAAGGGTGGTCTGGGGTGAGGTGGGCAGGGTCCTCTCCCCGACCACACAGAGTGGGCCAAAGGATGCACAACGTCCCACAGGACTGCATCATACCTCGTCAAAAGCCTTGTTCTTGCCTCTGCTGATCCCTTCATTGAGGGCTTTGATCCAGGATTCCTTCTCTTCCCCGCTGGGTGCCTGGAATTTGATGTCACTGACCTGTGAGAGAGACAGGTGGAGTAGATGACAGGTATTTTATAGGGCTCACACTTGGGGTTTTTTGTTTTGTTTTGTTTTTTGATGGGACCAAGGTTTGGTGGAACTCAGGGCTTTGCACTGACAAAGCAGGCTCTCTACCACTTGGGCCAAAAAAAATGGACCTCCAGTCCATTTTTCTCTGGTTATTTTAGAAATGGGGTCTCGTGAACTGTTTGCCTGGGCTTGAACCATGATTCTCTCAATCTCAGCCTCCCAAGTAGCTAGGATTACAGGAATGAGCCACCAGTGCCTGGCTTTTTTGTTTGTTTGTTTTGAAACAGAATCTTGCTATATGTATATAGCCCATGCTGGCCTTGAACTCAATCCTCCTATCTCTGTCTCTCAAATGCTGGGATTATAGGTGTATCCCATGATGCCTAGCCATATCTGGGAATTTTAGGAAGCTTCCCACTAGTGGAGTGGCTCAAGTGGTAGAGTGCCCGCCTAGCAAGTAACCCAGTCCCACCAAAAAAAAAAAAAAAAAAAAAATCATAGGAAGCTTCCCACCTCTGGATCCAAAGTCGAATAAAAATGACCTCACAACGGATCTCATGGTAGGACTCAAGGACAACAGTGAGGAGAGACCCAGCAGAGAAGGAGCCCTCCCACAGACCATAGCTTCCACAGGCTTAGACAGAAGCATCCTGCCCTGTGGAAAGAGCTCAGATCTGATCCTGCTTGATGGGACTCCCCCAGACAAACTGCCTGACCTCTGGGCTTCAGTGTGCTCTGTAAAGTAGAATAGTTCCAGTCCACACCCATGCTAAGCTGAGTAAAATGACAGCAGTGAAGACACGAGGAGCACCTTGGAACCAGGGCCACTTTCAGCTCCGCAGTAGTCCCCACAACCACCCCTGGCCCAGGCTATAAAATATGTCCCAACTCTTGAAGTCCAGGGTCTCCTCTCTGGCCTTGAATCACAGGCAATAAAGAGAAGGTCATTGGTGGGGGGGAGTGAATTCCAACCCCCTCATCATGTGAATAAAGAAACTGAGGCTCAGCAGATGGGATGACACTTGGCCAATGTGTCCTAAAGCAGATCCCTCTTGACTCCTGACTCTTGACCCACACCACACCACACCACACCACACCATCCCTGGTCCCTTTCCATCTCCAGCAGGAGCTCTGAGCTTCAATGTTAGAATCAGAGGGCAGCTCAGAGCCCTATCCCTGCTGGGCCCAATGGCCAGACAGGAGGTGAGCAGAAGGAGTGAGGCCACACAAACCGAGAGGTCTCCTCATGCAGTGAATAGAGCATTAGAGTCTATGAGCTAGACAGCTCACCACCTATAGCTGTCTGACCTTGGGCCTCGATTTCCTGATCTGTATAAGAAAATACCCCCACAGTCTGCCTCAGGACGCCATGAAGATTACCAAAAATGAGAACTGGGGGCTAGCAGAGTGGCTCAAATGATAGCATGCCTGCCTAGAGAGTGAAAGGATCTGAGTTCAAACCCCAATATGGCCTAAATAAACAAATAAAGAAAGAAAGTATCTGGGCTGGTGTATAGTTCACTCATGAGCTGTGGGGTCAACCCCTAACACTACAAAAAAAAAAAGTATAAAGGAATCTATATGAAAAATAGCCTAAAGAAAAATGGATGGAGGTGTGGCTCAATAGGTAAAGCACCTGCCTAGCAAGTACAAGACCCTGAGTTTAAACCCAAGTACAACCAAAACAACAACAACAACAAAAAGTATCTAAGTGCTGTATCTAGAGCTGAGTAGAATGAATGCTCATGGCAGAAATTTATGCTGTCACCTTCCTTCTGGACAAACACCCCAGTTTCCTCATCTGTAAAATGGGATGACACAGATTTCAATGCTGAGGAAATTAAACATGATTAAAGCCAGGGCCTGACACATAGTAGGTCCTTAGTAAACACTTGCTGAATGAATGAGCCAATAAATGAATGCCAGCCCCCAAGTTTCCTTCCCTAGCACTGTATTTGGACTACTGTCTAATCTCTGATCTCAGGCCACCCTAGTCCTTAGTTCTTTGTTGGCGGTGGGCACCCTGCCCATCCCCCGCCCTGGTGTTAGATAGCGCTGCCTTGCTCGGCCACTCTCCCAGTTATGTAACACACACTGCACTGGGTCTGGCCCCCTCAGCATCCTTGTTATATAACTTCCTCCTGACAGCACCACCTCCTCCAAGCCTCTGGTCGCTCTCCATGCTAGGCACAGCCAAATGCTCATTTGCATGACCAGGGTAAATTCGATGCTGGCAGCAGATCTGCAGTTAAGTCAGAAACCCCAGGGCACCTTGGCAACTGCCTCTCAGCCCAGCCATCAGAACTGCTGGGGCTCAGGGAGGGACCATACTGCATCCGGGACTGCAAAGGCCAGCCCTCTGACTCCTGCTGCTTCTCCTCTATTCAGAGGCTCTGAGCAGGCAGGACACTTGTCTGCTTCAGGACTTAGTGCCCCAGAGAGCTAAAGGGCACCATGGACGTTGTCGTAGCCCAGGAGCAAAAGTGAGGCAGGGAGGAGTCAGATGGCTTGGTCTTACTCTTTACTACTGGGGCCTCAAAGGGACAACACCAGAACTACTGGGCCCAACTCACACTTTGGCCACTTCCCCACTTCCCCAGCCTACCTGAGGCAGGTTGCTGCAAATGCATTAGCTGTCTGGGAGGTAACCGGCTTCAGGAAAGACCTACTGTGAGGCCAAAGGGCTCCCACGGGTGAGGTTGAGAGGGACCCAGTTCTCCCTTAAAGCACTCTGTAATCCTGGCTCAATGAGCCAGGCATTCCACAAGCAAGACTGGAATGAGGACAATTAGAATGACTAACAAGAAGTTGTGTCCTGAAGGGCCAAAGGCTGCACAATTCCCTGCTATAAGCCCTTCCAAAGAAACTCCAGTAACAGAGGCTGGACTAGGAGCTTAGATGCTAATAAGACTGGCCATAGGGACTGGAGGAGTGGCTCAAGAGGTAGAATGCCTACCTAGCAAGTGTGAGGCCCTGAGTTCAAACCCCAGTAACACAATTAATAGGCCACAGAATAAGCCTACAGGCCTGGGAATGAGGGAAGGGCACAATGACAGAGAGGAAAAGGGGGGAGGAGAAGAGAGGAGACAGGGAAGAGAGGAAAGGGCCAAGCTGGCGGAGACCAGCAGGGCAGCAAGGCCCAGCAGTGGCCACCCTGCTTCCTGGCAGTGGCTGTCTGTGACCTCATGGGCAGGAGCGTGGGGATGGAGAAGCAGGGGGAGAGGGGCATGCAAGACACTGGAGTCTTTGTTTATTTGATTAGAGAGGAAAAAAAGGCAGCCTCAAGACCAGACAGCCAGGGTCACATGACCTCCCGGCCAGCAGCCGGCTGGAGGCCACACTGAGGATGGGGAACACCCAGGGTGATGGGAAAGACAGGCAAGAGAACACAAAGAGTGTGGCGTTTTGGTCCATGTTTACCACCTAACCTCTGCTATGTGAGGTGGGGTAGCAAGGGTCAAGAGTCCTTGAGCTGGGGCCAGGGTGCATCTTTCCCGATGCAGCCATCACCGCTAGCTCTATGGTGATGCATTATTCTGTTCCCAGTGTCATCCAGAGCCAACCTGAACTCTTGGCAGGGCTGGGGGATGGGAAGGAGGGTGTGGTTGAAGAAGCTGAGAATGCAGCTGCACAAACAAGACTCTCTGAAGGTGACGTCCCACCCTAAGCTGAGGCGGACCCTCCTAGACCATTACCAGCCAATTCTCAAGAACTGGGGAAAGGAAGTGGTCCACAGGCAGAGGACAGATAGGTACCGCCTCCTCCACCTTATATCCACACAAGCATACTAAGAGACACACACAGACACATAAAGGCCCTAACAAAACCATGGCGAGGTAACACATACATGAACCAAACACACAGACACATATACCATGCATCCCTCCTACACCTACACACACACTGCACCCAGATGAAAAGCAGCAGGTCCCCAGGACAGCGTGAGGGCTCCAGTGCCTAAAAAAACAAAATGTGACACACACTCTCACTCTCTCTTTCTCTCCCTCTCTTTTTTTTTTTTTGGTGGTACTAGAATTTGGACTCAGATCTTCATGCTTGCTAGGCAGGCACTCTACCACTTGAGCCGTGCCTCTAGCCCTTTTTGCTCTAGTTATTTTGGAGATAGGCTCTAACTTTTTTGCCCAGGCCATCTTGGATTACAATACCATTTTAGTCTTCCTGCCATGGTTGGGATGACAGGCATGTGCCACTGCACTCAGCTATAGGTTCAGATGGGTCTCACCAACTTTTTGCCTAGCTGGCCTTCTACCATGATCTTCCAGATATTAGCCTCCCAAGTAGCTAGAATTAGAGGTGTGAGACACCTGTACACCCAAACTATGGCTCTTTTGTCCTCAAAGAGCCCTAAGCAGCAGATGGGTGATTCTGGGACCTAGCTCCATGAACCCTCAGAACAGTATAAACCTGCCCCTGCCCTGGGGCACCGTCTTCCACCAGTATCAGAGCTCCACAGCCACCTCCATAGCCATCCCAGTTATTTCTCTGCCCCATCCCCTGCAGAGCAGGAGAAAGGGTTAATGAATAAAGCATCAAGGTCTCCTCCAAAGTCCAGGGTCTGGCACCAGAGAGGACTGGGCTCCTGGCCTCTAAAGGTGAGAGAACAACAGAATGGCTCCAGCAGGCCCAAACCAGACCTGCTCCCTACCCCAGCCTCTGTGACTCAGCCCCACACTGCAAGGTGCCCCATGACTTGTAGAGTTTAGGGTGGGGCATGGTGGAAGCTGGTGAGAGGTGCTGCACACCTCTGCCTGCCTCAAATCTGATCTCCCTCCTGCCATCTGTGAAACTATACCATGTGTCAACATCCACCAGACTCCTGCCAAGGCAAAGTGGTACAAGCAGCAAAGCTCATGTGCATCCTGAGCAGGTCCCAGGGAAAGAATCCCCGAGGCAAGAGATCTACCCAGTTGCAACCAAGAACAAATACGACAAGAAGAGGAAAGCTGGGGCTGCAGGCCTTCTAGTCCTGGGCCCAGGAGGGATATGGAGGAAGGTGGTCTAGGGGAGGCCACACTGTCACCTCTGCCCCAGAGTGCTGAAGGCCTGGATGGGTAGAAGCCTCATCCACAGTGCTCCAGCCTCAGCTCTGGTCTTCCTGTGTGCAGCGTGCAGGGGAGGGCAAAGGACCCACCTCTCAGCAGCTACTATTAACCACTGCCTAGGATGGAGGCCTCAGGTCCAGGAATAGGAAGAGGGGAGGAGAGCTCTCAACAGATCCCTAAGTTCATCTTCCACCATCCAGGGACTGAGAAACCTCCAAGACAAAATGAGCAGAAGGCCCAACCCTGTGGCAATTGCTGGGATTAAGCCTTAGCCCGCTCAACAGGGAACCTGCAGGCTGCTTTAAGGGCCCAGCCTGCCTTGATCCCCAGAGTGATCCTCTCAGGCAGAGCCTGGCCTGGAGAGGCTGGCAACAGGGACATCTCCCTACCTTGTTTCCTGGGGATCGTAGCAGGATAAAGCGGTGCTTCCGCTTAAGGAGGGCACGAAGGTCCTGGCATTTCTCATAGCTGCCCAGCTCCACAGTCTCCAGACACTTCTGCTCATCCTGGGGAGAAAGACAAAGAGAATATGAACTGGTGAGAGTCAGACCCACCAAGATCCTCAACCACACTCCAGACCCTGATCCCATTCAGGGAGGGTGGGGGGTGGTCATCAGAGAGCATCACATCACCAAAATGTCATATTTGGACCCTGGCAAGGAGACAGTGCCAGCATGAACTGATTGGAAGTATGTCCAAAAAGCTCACTGTCTCTACGAGAACTGGGGCACACAGCCTGGGGGTGGGTATGTGCCTAAGGGCTGAGTCCAGTACGCATAAGCCCAGACATGGAAATAGAGAAGAACCTGGAGAGACTTAGAAAAGGGTGTGTAGGTACCTGTGCAGACCCAGAGGCCAGGCAGAGATTTGTGGAAGCGGTAGTCTGGAAGAGGGATGCAGGATGTTACAAAATGGGGATGGGGAGAGACTTTCCAAGAACCCAGAGGGAAGTGTGAACAGCACACTTGGGGCCACATGCCCATCAGGCTTCAGCACAGTGATCCTGAATTGGCTCCTTCTGTTGGCATCCTTCTCACTGATTGCTGGCTGGGAGACGGGCCCCTTACTCCAGGCTCTAGGCCATGCGCAACAGAGAATCCAAGGGCTCATTCAAGAGCATCCCACCCCACTGCATTCTTGCCTGTCACTCTGATGCCCCATCACTAGGTGTGTCAGTGCTCAGCCTCTTCCACTGGCCAGGCTGCCCAGCCCTGATTTAGCATGAAGGATTTCTCCATGGGCTCTACCCATCAGGAGCCTCTCCAGCAAGCTGCCAGGGACAAGCCCAATGGTGGTCAACTGGTTCCTCTTCCAGAGGAGACACAGTTGGAACAACTTGCTGGGAAGGAGAAGCAGGCCTTGGTGAGGGAGGGGGTTCATACTGCCCTGGAGACTAGCCAACTCACAGGGAAATTCTGGATGACACTGGGCTGGCAGAGTGAATTAAATGGCAGAGCGGCTGCCTAGCAAAGCGAAAGGTCCTGAGTTCAAACCCCAGTACCGTCAAAAAAACCAAAAACAAACAAAAAGAAATATATCTAGTGAGCACCTTTGTATCCCGATTCTTCTGAGCCTCACAAGAATCCTGAAAGCCTAGCACCTCAGCATCTGCCTCATTTGACAGAGAGAATGAAGCTGGAGGTGAAGTGATTTGCCATAGACTCAAATCCACATCCCTGATCCCAGGTCAGTCAGTGGCTTGATCAGTGCTTTCTCAATGGGTTGTTCTATGCTAGTGGTCCTCCCACTGGTCTTCCCAGTGTGGCACCTGGGCCAGCAGTATCAGTACCACCTTAAACCTGCCAGAAATGCAAATTTTGGGGCCCTATCCCTACTGAATTATAAACTCAAGGACTTGGCTTAGCAATATGAAGTCTAATTAGCCCTCCAGGTGATCCTCATGTATGTGAAAGTTTGAGAACTATCGCTCTACGCCAGAGGTTTGCAATCTTGGTAGCCTGCAAGCTTTTAAGAACCCCAACATCCTAGACCAGTGATACCAGGATCTCTGGGGATAAAGCCTGTACCTCAGCATTTTTTTGGGGGGGAAGTACTGGAATTTGAACTCAGGGCTCCGTGCTTACTAGGCAGGTATTCTACCACTTGAGTCATGCAGCCAGCCCCTTTTGCTTGTTATTTTCTCAGACTTTGATCCTCCTACCTATAGCCTCCTGCATAACCAGGATTACAGACATGATCTACCACAAGTGGCCTCAGTTTTTGTTTTTGTTTTTTTTTTTAAGCTCATGATGTAGCTCGGGCTGGTCTGGAACTTTCGATCTTCCTGCCTTAGCCTCCTTAGTGCTGGGATTACAGGTGTACACCACCACACTTGAGTTTTTCAGGACTTTTTTTTTAATAGGCAAAGGACTTAATTAATCTTTGTTTCAAACTTTATTCCCAGGCTTCTTCAGCTTAATTAACTGCCAAGAATGAATTGTATATAAGCTTAAACTGAAAAGTGCTACAGTGTCCAAGGGGCTTGTTCTTAAAATATATTAGAGATCAAAATTTAAAACAAATTTTAAAAGCAGTCATAATATAAAACAGCAACTCCCAATAACTTCTTCAAGTTTTATATTCTTCAGAAATTGACTCAACTCAGTTTGCCCTATTCTTAGAAGCCTCATCAAAATTCTCCACAAGATCGGGACCTTCATCTTCTTCATCATCATCATCACCATCATCCTCTCCAGTAGCAAGTGGTTATTTGGTCAGAGCTTCAGCCAGTCTCCTTAAACTAGCACACTGTGTGCACCACGCTGGGTTAAGATGCTGGAAAGCATTTCTGTCTGCTATTTGGTCTCAGCATGGCCTATAATGAAGAAAGGGTTTGCTGCCAGAGACACCTGCACTTTAGGGTTGTTAAGGTGGATCACTGTCCCTTGGTTTGTAAACAGATTCACTTCTTCAATACCAGAGCTATTGTTTAACCCTAACTTCTCTAAGGAGAAATAGGCTGTTCTGTGAGAAGATCCTCTCCCACCAATGCCCACTCGTGCCTGAAGTTTGGTGAATTTTTTCTGGTTCAGGATGGTTTCTGTTATCTGAAGCTTCTATCCTAGAGCTCCACTGCAAGTTGGAAGAAGAGACTGCATCACCTCACCCCCAAGGGAGATGCCCCCTGGCTGGACCTCACCCCCAAGAGTTGGCCTAAGCAGGTGTGCCTGTCCTTCACATTACCTTCCTCTCCTCAGCCCTGTCTCACTCCTTCTGGGGATGGCCCTTGTGCCCATCCTCTCCTCAGTACTTTTAAAGTAGATTACAGTACAACCAAGGTGGATAACCACTGATCTACTCTCTCTTCAGCCCCTTAGAGAAAAGGAAAATATGGCCAGGGTGGCCTGATCTTTCTATTCAGGTTCAATCTGTCTTCTCATTTTTGCTTCCATACTCTTCTTTCCAACCCCTAATCTCCAATTCCTTCTAGGTTCCTCCATGAAAGGAGCAGAAAAATCCTCTTGTTCCAGGAAGCTCCCCTGACACCCTCCTCACCCCTGTGATTCCCTGAGCTTTGGTGCTCTTATTCCTTGAGGTCCCTCACTACTTACTGCTGAGGACATGTAAACATCTCCAAAACACCTGCCAGGTGCAGGCATCTTGCTAGGGGCTAGGAGCACCAAGCCCTGCTTGGCCAGTTGTCTCTACCCTATTCTCCATATGTCTGTCTCCTGTAAGTCCCCCCACATGGTGCCCCACAGAACCCTACAAGAGGCAGTCCTCAAATGGACATACAGGCCAGACATGGTGGTGCATGCCAGCTACTGGGAAGGCAGAGATCGGGAGGATATGGTTTGAGGCCAACCTGGGAAAACACCCCATCTCCACAAATAGGCCCGTTGTAATGGAACATATGTAATCACAGTTACACTGGGAGGCATAGGTAGGATAATCGAGGTCCAAGGCTGACCCTGGGCAGAAAAGCAAGACCCTATCTGAAAAATAACCTAAAGCAGGAAGGGCTGGAGTTGTGGCTCAAGTGGTACAGAGCTTGCCTAGCAAGCATGGGGCCCTGAGTTCAAACCCCAATACTAAAGAAAAAAAAAAAAAAAAGGGAGGAGGGAGGGAAGAAGAGAAGAGAGGAAGGGAGGGAGGGAGGAAGGAAGGAAGGAAGGAAGGAAGAAGACACACGGGACTAGCTTTCTGGAAGGAGTGTCCAGCCCAGAGTAAAACCCCAGCAAGTTTCCTCCTCAGGGGTATCCAGAGGAGGGCAGATCCAAAGAGCAGCTCACCTGCTCCAAGTCCACAGGCCTCTGCAACTGGATGACCACTAGCCTAAATATACCCTCCTCTGCCAAGCAACAAAAAGTCAGTCCAAGTCCACTGCCCAGCTCCTCACAGCTGCCTGTCCTGGGTCTCCTCTCCACCCGAAACGCTGAATCATTCTGGCCCTTCTGCAGCTCAGAAAAACGGATAAAACAGATAAAGCAGCAGCCATTGGGTGGGGTAGTATCTTTGGAACATCAGCCTCTCTGACAGCAAAGGAACAGCCAAGTGCCGTCCACACTCGCCTAGTTCCTTACATCAGAAAGAGGAATTGAGCTAATAAGCATTTCTCAATTCCTACTCCTGGGCCAAGTTCCCCACCCCTGAGTACTAAGTTCTTGAAATTACATTGAAGTTTTTAATACTGATTTTTTTTAAAGTGTGATTTGGATTTTTCATGTTTGGGGGATGTAAAATCCTTCCTGCTTCCCAGTCATGGCCAGATGTGGAAACACAGTTCAGGACAATTCTGGCAGTACTTGACAGGCTGACAGCTGAGAGCCTGTCACTCAACTCTTACAGCAGCTGGCACTGGAGAAGCTGTGATAGCCCTCTTTATTTATAAAAATCTCTTTGCTACAACATTCCCAGCCATGAAGCATCCTAATTTGGTGAGAGCAGAAGTACAGAACATCTGGGGGCTGTCTGCACACCCTCATTTCTTGCCCTCCTGCTTCTCTGCCACTCCAATTCCCAAGGGCCTGGGGACTCAGGTAGGAGAGGCAAGGTGCTTCTCAAAGGCAGGTTCTTTAAACACTCAGATCCAGGTGAGCAAGTCTTTCTTGGCCCAGGACACTTATGAATTTGCCAAGCTACCCTGAAGGAGGCTGAGAGAGGCTGTTAAGAAAGAGAGGCAGGCTCTCACTTCTGCCTGCAAGTATTCCAGCTGCCAAAGGCATACGGTGATACTCCATTCTCATGGATGGGCCTTCTGATAGCCTCGAACCCAGAAGCCAAACAGCACCTACAAGGAAAAGCCACCTTTCCTCATCCAGTCTTCACTAGAGCTTTACTGACTCTTACTGAACATGCAATCTTAGCTTTCTTGGTAAATCCCAAGACTGATGAAACCAGGAGGAGCACAAGAGTCTGAAGTGGGAAGAGGCGAAGGCTGTTGGCACAGGACAGCAGAAGTGGCAATGGCAGCTTGATGTTAAAGGAGAAACAAAAGGAGCTGGAAGTCATGGTGCACACCTGTAATCCTAGCACTTGGGAGGCTGAGACAGGAGGATCACAAATTTGAGGCCAGCTGGGCTACACAGCAAGTTCCAAGCCAGCCTGGTTTACATAGTGAGACCTTATTTCAAAAAACTACAGCAACAAAAACCAGCCAGGCACCAGTAGTTCACACCTGTAATCCTAGCTACTGAGGAGGTAGAGATCACAAGGATCATGGTTTGAAGCCAGCCAGGCCAAACAGTTCACAAGACCCTATCTCAAAAATACCTAACACAAAAAGGGCTGGTGGAGTGGCTCAAGGTGTAGGCCCTGAGTTCAAGCACTGGTACTGCAAAAAAAAAAAAAAAAGCAAAGCTGGGAGCCAGAGGAGGAGGCTCTGAGTTCAACCCCCAGTACTGCAAAGGGGTGCTCTGAGTTTAGGAGGCTATACCTTTTACCCCCAGTACTGAAAAAAAAAAAAAATGGAGCTCCAAAAAAGCATGAATGTTAATTATTATTTCTACTACCACTACTGAGCAGGCCTCAGTTTTCTGGAACAATCCTTATATGGAACCTTCCCCGGGGACAGGAAGTTCCATATACAGGTATACAGTTGAGAAAACTCACATACTAGATGTGCAGGTGCCTCAAAGAGCTCTCATTCAGGATCCACAGAGGTATCACCTCCAACCACACAGAGACCCAGAAGTGATTAGGCACTCACCCCGATGTGGCTCAGCACAGCAAAAGCAGAGCAGGTCTTCCAGCCCCAGTCCCAGGTCCTCCTGCCTTCACTTTGAGCCCTGCCCCATGACCCCCAACATTAAGGCCAAGCAGGTCCTCACCTCGTTCTCATAGACCAGCAGCTGAGCTTGGCAGAGGAGTAGGTAGCGGTCCTTCCAGAGCCCCAGGAGGCCCCCACTGCTTTTCTTGATCCAACCAGCCTTGTCCACCATCCGTGCCACACGAGGCTTCTCACTTCCCTCCTTTACACCCTGTAAGACAGCACCAGGACATGCCATGAGGGTTGCTACCAGGAGCCATATGGTTCATAGACTACATGAAGTATATGTGCCTATTTCTGGAGACCCAATGACATCATCTTATATGAGGTTCCCCACAATCCCCAAGGAAGACATTTCTGAACCAGTATCAGAAACAATAGTAACGGCAGCAGCCACTTTACATGGAGCCACTGTATTCCATTTCATGCACACAGTCTCATTTAACTCTTAAAACTACTCTCCACTAGGGTGCCAGCTGCTCATGTCTATAATCCTTGCAACTCAGGAAGCAGAGATCAGAAGATTCCAGGTTTGAGGCAAATAGTTTGAGAGACCCTATCTTGAAATTACTCAACACAGGGCTGGTGGAGTGGCTCAAGTGACAGAGAACCTGCCTTGCAAGCCCAAGGCCCTGAGTTCAAACCCTAGTACCACCAAAAAAAGAAAAAAATACCCAACACAAAAAAGGGCCACGGGAGTGGCTCAAGAGATAGAGCACCTGCCTAGCAAGTGTGTGAGGCCCTGAGTTTAAACCCCAGTACTCTAAAAAACAAAACAGAACAAAAATTACCCTCCAAGGTGTTAGCCACATGTCACAGCAAACTGAAGCTCAGAGAGGAGAGATGACTTGCCAGAGACATGGCTAAGAGGGACAGAGACAAAACTCAAAGCTGGTCTCTCTGACCCCTTGTTCTTCCCTTTCTAGCCTTTTGCCTCCATGTGTTCATTAAACTGGCCAACAAATGTACTGAGCGCTTACAACATCACAGAAGAATAAAAGGAACACAGTCTCTGCCCTCACAGAGCTTACAGTGGGGTGGGGGCAGGGGGAGTTACTGAACAAATATGCACCCCAACACAAACAGTGTGAAATGCTACGAAGGATGCAAACACAGGCCAGTGAGAGGAGAGAGAGGACCTGGTTCAGGTTGGATAGCCCAAAAAAGGCCTCCCAAAAAAAGACATTGAAGCAAGCTGCCTCTCCACCCCTGCCTTCTACAGAACTCACTCTGCAGGCCTGGCTTCCTGCCCCAAAGCTGGAGGCTTCTTTGTCCTCTGCCCCCCATGCCAGGCCAGGACTCCAGGGCAGCCACCTCATGTGGTTTCATCAACCACAGGGGGTACAGGAGTTAAATGCAAGCCTGGACAGACAGGATAGCCACACAGCAGCCTCAGGGCCAGCCACTGACATCTTGTGCCCCATCTGTGACTCAAGTGGTTGGTTGGGTGCTGGGTACATGCCTACTAGATGGGGTCACATTCATCTCTGGTTCCCTAGCACTCAGCCCTGTCTTTCACACCTAATGGGACTCAAGAAATATCTGTGAAATGAAAATAAAAATACACCCACTTTGCTTCACTGGCTGGTACCCAAAGTAGTGAATGTGAAGGAGGGTGGCAGAGAGGGGGTCAGGAGCATGTCAGGATGTAGAAGAATGCTAGAAGGAAATCAGCACAGACTAATTTTGACTACGTTATAATTTACATAAAACTCAAAAAGGGGGCCCCACTTAAAAGAGGCACGCCTCTCCCCAGGGATGCCCTGTGGCCACAGCTGTCTTTGGAAGGACAAGCCCAGGCAGATGTAAGTGTGGTGAGCTGTCAGGAGCTGGGCAGGGCCTGGCTTCTCTGCTGTTATGTCAGGGAAGCCCCAGCCTGCTTCTCACTATGGCCCCTCCACCTCTTGGAACTGCACATTCTGTGATGTGGCCAGCTTTGAAGCCCAAGTTATGCACACCAGGGACACAGACAGACAGACAGACAGACAGACACACACACACACACACACACACACACACTACTTAACTTCTCTATGCTTCAGTTTGTTCACCTGTGAAATGGAGATGCTAACAGTAGAAGTTGTAAGAAATACAGCTCCGTAAGGCAGGGGTTTTTTGTTTACTGCTGTCTCCAGTGTTTAGATAGCACCTGGCACACAGTAAGTGTTCAACAAATGTTTGTTGCTGGGGTGAGTGCTGGTGGCTCACATCTGTAATCCTAGATACTTGGGCGGCAGAGATCAGGAGGCTCAAGGTTCAAAGCCAGCCTGGACAAATAGTTCGTAAGACACTATCTTGAAAATTCTCAACACACACACAAAAATTGCTGGAGGTAGGACTCGAGTGGTAGAGCACCTGACTAGCAAGCGTGAGGTCCTGAGTTCAAACCCTAGTACTGTCCAAAAAAAAAAAAAGTTTGTTGCTGAATGAAGACGAGGCATGTAAAGCACATTCCTAGGATACCCTAAACTTGGCAAATGGCAAGTTTACAAATGACAAATTACGGGCTGGTGGAGTGGCTCAAGTGATAGAGTGCCTGCCTAGCAAAGCCTAGCAAGTATGAGATGCTGAGTTCAAGCCCCAGTGCCGCCAAAAAGACAAAAACAATCTGTTAGCTACTTATTGGACTAGAACATGGCTCAAGTGCTAGAGCACCTGCCTACCAAGCATAAGGCCCTGAGTCCTGAGTTCAAACCCCAGTACCACCAAAAAAAAAAAAAAAGTTTCTATATGGAAAGTCACAATGAAACCCGTGTACAACCAATATATGCTAATAAAATGTTTTTTAAAAATGACAAATTATCATTGTCACTGACATCCTCTCTGGCTCTAAGGGACCCTCTCCCTAGACCAATTCAAGACAATGCCTTTCTGAACTATAGCTGCTAGCCCCAGATCTCGACGAATATGGGGAGCCCCCTCAGGGTCTCTAACTCGTAGATAGTGAGAGAAATGGGGAAGCGGGATGGTCCCAATGGTCTTCCTGGATGCAGGAATGAGGAAGTAGGAGGCTGACCAGTTACAAGCCAGTCTATCCAGCGTAAGAGGGGACTTTGACAAGGAAAGGAGAGACTCTGCCATCCAATCATGTACCCAATTTCCCCTCCCCATCTTACTGCTAATACCATATGATCAGCCCCATGGGCTAGCCCCCAAGGGCCCAAGCCCCTTGATGACCCTGGCAGCCTGTCACAGGACAAAGGGCTAGAAGGGAAACTGGCAAAAAGGAATTCCATGCCACCTTTCACCCACTCACATCCCTCCTATAGGCAACTCCAGCACTGCTGCCACCTCCTAGGCACTTTGTGCCCTGCACAGGCACTTTTGGGGTGTGTTGTATGTGTGTGTCTGTGTGTGTGTGTGTCTGCGTGTGTTTCTAATACTAGGGTTTGCACTTGCTAAGCAGGTGCTCTACCACTTGATCCACTCCTCCAGCCAATCTTGGTCAATCTTAAACAAGGCAGTGGAGACTGTGGAGTATGAAGCTGCTGCCCAGATCTCCCACCTCTGAGCTCCACACTCATCTCCTGCTTTTCAAGGGGCCCTTCCAGCACCTCTATGGGATCTCACAACGCTTTCTAAACCCACTGCCTGACATGTGAAACTTCCTACCAGATGGAAGCTCTAGAGGCCAAGGTTGGAACCCGGTGTCTTGATCACTGTCACTTCTGACCTGGGTGTAGCACACGTGTCCAGTACATTAGCTAGAGAAGCAAGCCCAAGGCCTGGAAGGATGGGTGGAACTTGGATGGGATAGGCGAGAGGGCATTTTTAGATGGGGGACAGGAAAATTAGGGGGTTGAAGATGGTATGAATCAAAGCCCAGCCATCCTATGGGAGGCCTGGCTGGAGGCCAGGGTCCTACTTGCCTCCACCCTCTAGCTAGCCCCCCTCCCTGCCCCTCAGACCTCTTCCCACCAGGGGCCTGGCTATGCCCCAGTAAGTTTTAACAAGACACCCCTCCCCTTGGCAGGGTTCACAGGGAAGGTTTTGTCCTGCTCAGCCCAGTTTCTAGGCCTCCTCTCCCCTTATTGACCAGCTCACCACTATTTCTGTTTTGCTCTCCCCCTCCCATCCATTCTGACCAGGCCCTCCTGCCCACTCTGAGCCCCTTATGCCTGACATGAGGAGGGTCTTTGGGTCATTAATAACTAAAAAAAAAAAAAGTCCAGGTCACCCTGACCCTGTGCACAGAGGGGACAGAGAGAAAGCCACTACAAAGTTGTAAGACAGAGACCAGCAGAAGAAACTTCATTAACATGTCAAATCACAGGTAGCTCATACCAACCGTTGCCCTTTGACTAAACCTAAAGATGCTGCCCAAGCTCTACTGAGAACCCACAGTGTCAGAACCCTGTGATGGAGCAGTCAGAGATATTCCTCAGGCTCTACCCTGGGAGAACTTTCCAATCTGATGGGAGCAGCAGCAGCACAGGCCCAGACTAAGGGAAACCTCTAGTCTGGGGGCTGGGTGAGTGTCTACTGCTTGAGGGCTGCTGTTGGAAACAGACATCGAACTTACCCTGAGGGATCCCCCTCCCAGCACTCTGCTGGAGTAAGAGCCTGGGGTTAGTCTAAGAAGCACTTTCAGAAGGTAAGGGATAAGTAGGGCTCTGAGGAAGGGAAGGCGAAGGCCAAAAGGGTATCAAAGACCTTACACTCTCAACCCCTTCACTACAGAAAAGTGCAGTCCAATGTCACAAAACCAGTATTGGGACAAGACACTGACCTGCCAGTCTCAAGAAGGGTAAGAGCAAGTTGGCAGCCTGGAGCCAGAGAAAGGCATAAGTGTAGGATGGCAGGGTACCCCTGAGGCAGGACTTGGATAGCACAGATACAAGGTTTCAACCTTACTCCAGGGGCAGCAGTTTTCAAAGCTTTTGCACAGACACCATCACATTTCTGCATCACCCACCTCCCTCTTTGTATGGTTTGGGAAACTGAAGCCCAGAGACACAAGTGGAGAGATGCGTAGACCCAAACCAGCACTTCTTCACCAAGCCTCAGCCAGACAGGGACCACAAGCCCACAGCACATAGGTCACTGAGGCTGTGGGGGTACAGGGAGAAAGCTCAAAGCTAGCTTGAGGGCTACAAGCAGCCAAGTGGAAGCGATGAGATGGCCTGAGGTCAGGGGCAGAGCAGGTGACCATGATCTATGAAGTGTTTTAGAGAAACCAAGGTGTGCAGAGGCCGAGAGAAACAAGGGGAAGCCACTGGAAGAAGCAGGAGAGTTAGGAATGGGGGACATAGGGAGCCCATGGCTGTGTGGGTGAGACACACAGAGCTTTTGATATTTGGTAGTCAGAAAGAAGCAATGCTAGAGATTAAGACCCAGAGGGAGCCCATGTCTGGGCTGAGCCCAGAAGGCCCCAGGAGAACTTCCTTTAATTGGGGGCCAGAGCAGATCAGGAGATGGAGTAATCCTGACCCACATCCTCTGGGAGCAGGGGAGGGGCCTCAGCCAGAGAGCCCAGCCACAGCAGCAGCAGCAGCAGCAGCAGCAGCAGCAGCAAGCGCCCAGGGCAGACAGCAGCCCCTCCTGTGACAGCAAGGAAGAAACCACAGAAAATCTTAGTGATCTGCTTTGTTCCCTACCTGGACCCACTTTGGGAGAAGGGGCCACAATAATGCCGTCAGGCCTGGGGGAGGAGACTAGGCCCTGTGTTTTATAAAGAGGAAATACAGGCAGAGAGGGGAAGTGACTTATCTACCATCTCACAGAAATGCAGGGCCTGTCCTTGTCTACCTGCTCCTGAACAGTGTCCCCAGGAAGTAGGGAGGTGGATACTGACAGGCAGCCTGGTTCACACAGGGTTCTCCAGCTGGCAGGGGTGGGCCCAAGTGAGAAGGCTTTGTCTTTCCTTGCCACCTATCCAAGCAAAGATGCAGACCCTTCCCCTGGGTTTGGAGGAGCAAAAGCTAGGAACCTTCAAGTGATAAGAAACAAAGTCACCTTTTTATTCACTGCATTGGCACACATTAAGTGTTTGCTGTATGCTGTATCCTTGGATGATTGGGCTGCTGGGAGAATCAAGTTTGTATGCAAAGAGCAGAGGTCACGGAGTACCTGACCCCACCCCAGGCCAAGAGTGTCCTGTGATGGTGGAGGAAACTTAGGGGGCATTACTGTCCAGAGCTTGGCTCCTTGGGACTTAACCTTTCTAGGGATGTGGAGAAGGCAGGAGCCTGACTCCTCAGATAGTGTCTTCCAATGGATGTGGGGTACTGGAGAGGAAAGGAGGAAAAGAGACACACAAGGACTTACAAAGAGAGAAAAAGCAATTTCTTCAATCTTCCTGCCACCAGGCACCATCAGGGCGTCAGATTCCTTGAGACAGAGACCCTGGAATGTACAAACCTCCCTCTCACTAGCACACACACATACACAGATTCAGCCCCCTCAAGAGCCAGCCTGACCAGCGCAGGGAGTCCGCAGTAATGGGGATCAGGCACAGTAATCCAAGCCATTTCCTTAAGTCACCCAAATCGCCGGAGACTCAGTCTCCCCGTCAATCCAATGGGAATAATAACAGCCACAGTATCCACATAATTGGTGAGAAAAGCCAAAAAATATGATGAAGAAGGATGCGAAGTGCCGATCTCTTCCTCCGCCCCTGCCCCATCCGCCCAGGCTCTGCCTGGGAGAAGGGAGAGGAAGGCGTCCCGAGACCCGTTCGAGTGGGGAGAGCAAAAACGAGGGCCTGAGCTGGGGGCGCCCCAACCCCGTGAGGGGCTCGAAGACCCCAACCCAGCCTCAATCCCCGCGTGGCCCGGCCCTCACCTCCTCCTCCATGGCGAGTCCGTGAGGTCCGACTGCTCCGCCGCTCACCCCCGGGGCCGTGCGGGCTCCGTCAGCTCCATCTGCGCGCGGCCGGGCGGCGGCTGTCTACGTTCTGTCCCGCCCGCCGCCCGGGGCCCAAGAAACTTCTGGGGGCGGGGCCGAGGGCGGGGAGAGGCTTCCGGGGGCCGCGGGCGGGGCCGGGGAGCCGAATAGCGGGGCCAGGAGGCCAGGGCCTGGGGCGGGAAATGGGCGTGGCGGGGCCGGGGCGGGGTCGAGCTGGGGGTGGGGCCGGGCGTGGGCGTGGGGACTGGACAGAGGAGCTCAGGCGGAGCTGGAGCAGGAAGAACAGGGCGGGACAGGGGGAAGAGAGGTTTCCCCGACCCACGGCTGGAGATGGACTAGGAGCGGGTATTGACTGCGGGGGGATGCGGCAGGGAGAAGGGAAGGGGGCTTCCGGCCCAGTGACCAAGGCTAGGGTTGCGGGAGGGGCTTGAGGGCGGGGCCGGGATGGGGTGGACAGGGCGCGCGCTGGAGGCATTGGCGGCTGGTTGCTTTGAGGTCTCCTGACCAAGTGGGCTGGGGTTACCGGACTGGACCCAGCTGCCAAAGGCGGCCCGCAGATGAGTGCACAAAGACGCTCCTCCTTTTTCCTCCCAGACGCTGGGGCAGTCGTGATAGCCTGGTCCTCTTCTCCCTGGAACCTCTGAGCCGGGCCCAGCCTGGAACTCGGGTCTCTGGTCCAGAGGGTCATGTAACAGGAAGACCTGGGGCTGCGAGTCTGGACTCTGGAGTCCTTTGTGTGGGGGGGGGTCTACCCCTGGCTCTCGGGGGGGCGTCCCCAAACGCGGTGCGATCTTGACCTCCCTGGGCATCGCTCAATCCCCTCTCGGACCCTCCGACCCTCACTACATCCAGCGGTGATTTTGCAACCCTGACATTACCGAAGAGTGAAGTGTTAGGGACCATCAAAGAATGGTTTTAATTATACAGTGCCCCCTCATTTTACATGGAGAGACAGAGGACCACAGGGAAAGTGGCAACATCGCAGCCTCCAGCAGCAGCCTCCTCCTCCCCCAAGCTTTCCTGGTCAGCCCTGCCCCATCCCACCGCATGGAGAATTAAGTTCATGTGGGATAAATGGTGAACTCCTTTGGAGCTGGCTACTACAGCAGCAGCTATACCAGTTAACCAAGCTCCCCTTTCACCGCCTTGGGCTGGCCCTCAGGCTCCCAGGATATTTCCAGCCCAGAGTGGAAGAAAGTAGCCTGGGGCCCTAGGGTCAAGGGGGAAGGAGGTGGTGGCACACTTTCCCTCCTTCATGTAAGGGGTGGAACAAAGTTTGAGGATCTGAGAAAGTGAGTATGTAGCAGCCTCTTACAGGCACATGGTTTTGTTCCCTCAGTCTTTTTTTTTTTTTCTTGGCATTACTGGGTTTGAACTCAGGGCCTCACACTTGCTAGGCAGGTGTTCTTACGGCTTGAGCCACTGCGCCAGCTCTTTTTGTGACAGGTTTTTTGGACTATTTGCCCCTGTGGCTGGCTTTGAACTGTGAACTTCCTGATCTCTGCCTCCAGACTAGCTAGGATTACAAGTGTGAGCCACTAGCACTGAGTGCCCAGCTGTTCCCTCAGTCTTAAGAGCTGTGTAGTCCTTGCCTGAAGCCTCAGAACATCTTGTATCTGGAACCAGGATTTACCTGCAGGAAACCAGAGGCCCTGGGGAAATACATATTTTTGCACAGAAGCAGTGCTGTTAGGGGCAGAGGCAGTGTAGTCAGGTGGATTTTGATATGCAATTGACTGTCATTTGGGGAGGAAGCCAACTGATAACCATTCTGGCCTCAGTTTCCCCACCCAGCCCATGCTGGTCCTCCAGTTGTTGCCTCCACACCACATGTATTTATTCAAGCCCCACACTACTGGGAGATATGACAGTGCTCAGAGCCCCTGTCCTTTATGGAAAGAGAAAGGCATGCAAACAAATGAGAATACTATGTGTTAAACATAAGAAGGTAAATGCACAGAGTGGCACCAAAACCAGGGCAAAGGGGTAAGACAGGCATTCTGGGCAGAGGGGACAGTGTAAGCAATGGCACAAAGGCATGAAACAGAATAGCATGAGTTGGGGATGGGGTGGGAAGGCAAGCTGGAGACGCAGATAGAGCTCAGGGTAGAGAGGGTGATGTAGGTTGTACCACAATTTAACCTTGGGGCAATGGAAAATGATTGGAGGTTCTGGGTAAAAGTGTAAATTTTGCATGTATTCCATTTAATCCATCAACAAAGTCTATGGAGTGCTTCTTATTTTTTTTTTTTCATTTTTCTTTTATTATTCATATGTGCATACAAGGCTTGGTTTATTTCTCCCCCCTGCCCCCACCCCCTTGGAGTGCTTCTTAAGTGGAGCACTTTCCAAAAGAATTTAGGAGTCTCATTCTTGCTCACTGTGCTAAACTCATGTATCTCATTTAATCCTTACAAATATCATCCCACCCCCACCCCCAAAATAGATACAATTGTTAGTCTCATTTTATGGATCAAGAATCTGAAGCTTGCCCAGTGCTGGTGGTGGCTCACACCATAATCCTAGCTACTCAGGAGGCACAGACCAAGCGGATTGCTGTTTGAAGCCAGCCCTGGGCAAATAGTTCAAGAGATCCTATCTCAAAAATACCCAACACAGCTGGTAGAGCTCCTACCTCGCAAGTATGAGGCCCTGAGTTCAAATCCCAGTACCACAAAAAAATCTGAACTTTTGGCTAGAAGTGTAACTCAAGTGGTAGAGCACCTGCCTTGCAAGCACAAGGTCCTGAGATTAAGCCCCAGTACCACAAAAAAAAAAAAAAAAAACAAAAACAAAAACAAAAAAAACCCTGCAGCTTGGAAAAGTTAAATGACCTGGTTAAAGTCACTTGACTGAATTCATGCCCTGCCTGACTGTGGAGTCCATGCTCCCTACCAAATGACCTCTTATGGAAGCTGTGTGTGATCAGGTCACAAAAGATCTGGGCTCTCCCTTGCACAGCTGGTGAATCATTGGGAGGGGAGACAAGTCCTCAGAAGGGTGTTGATGATGGAGGATACACAGTGCTGTGTAAGGGTCCTCCACAGAGGAGGGGCTGAGTTGTATTCTAACAGGGTTAGCTAAATAAGGAGGCAGAACGGGAAGAAAGAACATCTCACAAAAGTGAGAACTATAGGACACCTGACTTGTTAGGGGAGCCATGGGTGGGTTCATCATGGTCATATGATGGTGGGTGAAGGGGCAAGTTTTAAGAGGCCTCCAAGGAGCAGCAGGGAGGAGGAGGAGCACTAAGAGCTTTGAGTGCTCATGGAGTGGATATGAAATTCCTCCTGCAAGGGACCACTGAAGCCTGAAGCAGGGTGTGCCCAATCTCATTTTCATTTTACAGGCTCATTTGTGTAACTGCTATGTGGAGAATGGAGTGACCGGCAAGAGAGACAGGAAAATCCATTGGATAGGAGGTTGGTCCAAAAATGCAGGTGGATATGTTGGAGCCTTGAATCAGGCAGTGGTTTGAGAGTTATAGACTCTTATTCAAGAGACAGTAAACAGATCAGATCTTGGAGAGAGTGTTTTCACTATGTATTGATTCACCCAGTAAACACCTATTGAAAGTCCACTTGTGTCAGGTGCTGCTCTGAATATAAGGAAGAAAGTCATAAGGGCTGCAGGCATGATCCCTGCCCTCATGAGGTTAGCAGAAAGAGATGACAGGCAAATAAACAAATGAACATGATAATGACTATTGTAAGCTCTACAAAGGAAATATCAGGGCAACAACAGTACCACAGGAGCCCATTTTAGATATGCTTGTCGTAGGGGGAAACCTATCTTTTCTTTCTTTCCTTTTGATTTTTTGAGTGTCTCACCATGTAGTACAGGCTGACCTCAAACTTGCTATCTAGTTCTGCCTACCCTCAAACTTGTGATCCTCCTGCCTCAGTCAGGAGGATCCCAGGAGTACTGGGATTGTAGGCATAAACCACTAAGTCCAGCAGGGAAAAGTCTTCCTGAAGAATGAATATTTCAACTGAGACCTGAAAGATAAGAAAAAGACAATCACATGAAGAGGTGGGGTGAAAGGGAGAGGGCATCTCATGCAGAGGAAAAGGGAAGTGCAAAGATCCCGGCTCAGGAACATTTTTTTGTTTTGAGACAGGAGTATTGCCACGTTGCCCAGGCTGGCCTTGAATTTCTAAGCTGAAGGGATCCTGTTGCCTCAGTGTTCCAAGAAGCTGGGACTACAAGTACATACCACTGCCTCACACTGGGAAAGGACAATGTGACAGAAGCATAGTGAGCAAAGGAGAGTGGTAGGCTTGAGCTGGCATCGCAGCCAGCTGTTGAGGAAGGCTGTTGGGCAGGATTGGCTTCAGGCTGTGGGGTTTTTGTTGGCTTTTTGCAGTGCTGGGGACTGAACCCAGGGCCTTCTACACACTAGTAAGTGTTCTTCCACTGAGCTACATTCCTTACTAGGGCTAAGGGTTTTATTCCAAGAGGAATAGCCTGGAGTCATTGAGGCCTTTTAAGTAGAGCAGTGACAAAATCTAATTCTTTTATTTTTTGGCAGTACAACAGAATCTGATTTATATGTTTAAAAAGATCCCACCTACTGCACTGTAGGGGGGCAGAGTGGAAGCCAGGAACCCAGGGAAAACTAGGAGACTACTCCTGTAATTCGGGGAGAGAGGACAGCCTGCTAACTTTAGGGTGTGGGGTGGAGATGGAAGGAAGTGAATAGATTCAAAATACACTTTGGGGCTTGTGGAGTGACTCTAGTTGCCTGGGTAACAAGCATGAAGCCCTGAGTTAAAATTCCAGTACCACCACCAAAAAAATTCTAGAGTTAAAAATCAACATGTCTCAGTGTGGTGGATTGGATGTGGTAGGTGAGGAAAGAATCAAAGATGTGGTGTAGGTTTTTAAGTGGAGCCCCAAATAGTGGTGCCATCTGAGATGAAGACAGGAGAAAAACAAGGGTTTAACGGCTTTTGGAAGGAGACTGAAGACTGTTCAGGGAAAAGGGAATTTGAGGACGAATGCAGATGTCCCCTGGAGTTCAAGGAAGAAGAGCAGGCTGGAGATAAAATTTTGAAAATTGGCATGATAATTAAGTCTTGAAACTGGAAAGGAGGGACGGAGAAAGGGAAGGGAGAAAGGAGAGGGAGAGGAACAGGAAGAAGGGATAAAGGAAAAGCACCTTCAAGGAGAGGATCAACAAAATGAAAGTGTCCCCTGAGGGTGAGAAAGCAGCGCGACGTGAGGTTTGTGCTCCGAAGGCTGCAAGAGCACAAAACAAATACTCTTTCCTGTTCGGCTTCTCTCCAAGACTCTCCTGGCAAGCTTCGGGCCGCAAAAGGAGGAGGGCAAAGCTTTCGGAGAAAGGATAGTGAAGTGGAGGACACGGCTCTTTTGAGTATCACATGATATCGCCCTTCACTAATGTCATTGTTACCGCAGAGCCAGAGATTGGACTGAGACCTCCAGTAACAGAGAGCAGATAAGACATCTGGAAGTTCTCGAGGAGGAAATTTCTTAATGGAGAAAACCCATTCTCCCTGAGAGCTTGCCTCCAAACTAGGCTTTGGGTTAGGCGAGGAAATTGGGGAGCAGTGTTGGGACTCGTTAGGAATTGACCTGGTGGCGGCAGTAGCGAGTCGACCACAGGGCAGACGGGCAAAACAGCCCAAGGCAGACAGGGAGGAAGTCGCACTCCAGATGTGAGACTCCCACTGGCTCCGCCTCCCTCCTGTACCGACCAATCAGGATCCAGATGGCAGGCGTTTCGCGGTGGGCGGGGAGGGGTGGAGCCCGAGCACAGTTAATCTCCTGGGACGCGGTGTCTAGTGAAGCGCTGGGTTCCTTTCTCTACAAGGATACGCCGTTGCTCGTACTTTGGAAAAATCTCTGGCAGGTTCATATAACACTGAATATTACATCTACTCTACGACCTAGAATTTCTTACCTTGGAACTTGTTCAAAAGAAATTAAAACCTAAATCTACAGGAAACTCAGATAACTCATCAGCATGAAAACAGGTAACAGTACTCAGCAATAAAAATAAAGCAGCAGCAGAAACACTGTGAATCTAAGTCATTCTGGTAAGTGAAAGAAAGCCTTACATGAAAGAATGAAGAACTGGATAATTCCATTTATAACAAGCAAAACTAATCTGTAAAAATATGACAACAGCGTTTCTGGATTTAGAGTGAGGATGGACTGGGAAGGGAGATGAGGAAGCTTCTAGGTGATGACAGTGTCTTTAGAACTTTGTGCAATGAGAGATTGTTCTACGTGTCACAAGTGTAGTAGCCACATGTGACTACTGAGCACTGAATTTGAGAGCACTGAATTTGAATTTCATTTCACTTTAATTTATTTAAATTTAAAATTAAGGGCCGAGGATAGAACTGAGTAGTAGGGCGCTTGCCTCGCATGCTGTAACAGATCACTACAAATTTACTAGCTTAACACAAATTATCTTGCAATTCTGGAGGTCTTACTGTGTTAAAATCAAAAGCTGTATTCCTTGTGGAGACTCCAGCAGACAATTCCACTTCCTTGCATTTCCCAGCTTCTTGAGGCCACGTCCATTCCTGGCTTTACTTATGGCCCTTTCTCCTATCTTCAAACCAGCAGTAACAGTAACTTCCTCTCCTTCCCCAGCCCAATTTTCCTTTGTCACATTGTCTCTGAATGGCCTCTATTTCCTAAAGACCCCAATTACATTATTAAGCCTACCCAAACAATCCAAAATAATCTTCACCTCTCAAAAAAAAAAAAAATTAAGACAAGGTCTGCTGGAACTCAAGACCCTCCTTCCTCAGCCTCTCTACTGCTGGGATTACAGACACAATACCATCACACTAGCTTCAAAAATCTTAATCACATCCGCAAAGTCTCTTTTTGCAATGTAAAGTAACATTCCCAAATTCTGGGGATTAGGACATGGACTTTCTCTTTTTTGGGGGGAGTGTCATTATTCTACCTACCACAGTGAACTTCACTTTTTTTGTGCGTGTGTGGTACTGGGGCTTGACCTGAGGGCCTTCACCTTGAGCCAGTCCACCAGCCCTTTTTTGTGATGGGCATTTTTGAGATAGGGTCTCAAGAACTATTTGCGAGGGGTGGCTTCAAATCTCGATCCTCCTATCTCTGCCTCCTGAGTAGCTAGGATTACAGGAATGAGCTACCTGTGCCTGGCAAGCTTCACTTTTTTTTTTTCCTTAACCTATTACTAATTTTTTCCCTTAACCTATTAATTACTAATTTACTCATACATAACAACCTATTCAACTAATGCTTAACATGTCAAGACAACACTGAAGAGAAAATACTTTTCATGATTTCTTTCTAAAAGTTTTATTGAGAATCAGGTGGTTTCATGCACATCTGTAGTCCCAGCTACTCAAGATACTGAGGCAGGAGGATTGCTTGAGCCCAGGAGTTTGAGCTCAGCCTGAGCAACATATCAAGACCCCCAAACCCCTCAAAGATAGATAGATAAATAAATAAATAAATAAATAAAACAGGGTTGGGCACATGATTCAAGTGGTAAAGTGCCTGCCTATCAAGTGAAAAGGACCTGAGTTCAAACACCCAAAACTCCAAAAAGTTTATTGGGTATAATTCACATGCTGTACAATGAAATCGAAGCATACAATTCAACAGTTTTTAATATTAGTCACAGTTGTGCAATTATCAATCATTTTAGAATTTTTCATCTTCCTCCCATTTTTGCATAGGCTTGAGGCATTTTGAAAACATCTCACTGGCAGGAACTACGATTCCAGTCCAGATTCAGTCCAACTCCCTTCAGAAAGTTAGGTCAGTCACCTGGGAGCAGTGTGGTTGGGCAAAAGTAGTTAAGTAAACAGGTAGCCTGAGTTCCAGGCTTTATTTTGCTACTTGTAAGCTATGTGACCTTCCGTAAAACGTCTTGGAATCTTGTTTTCACTCATTTGAAAAATAAGGGCAGTTTAATCTATGGAGGCCAGCATTATCTGCAAACCGAGGTGACTGGGCTCATCTACAAGATCACTTCCAGTTATGGAATTCCAAGCTTCAAAGAGGAAAAATGATAATTAAATTAAATTCTCGCCGGGCGACATTGGTTCACGCCTGGAATCCTAGTTACTCAGGAGGCAGAGAGCAGGAGGATCACAGCTCCTCCAGGTCAAATTAGTTTGCAGACCCTATCTCGAAAAAACCCATCACAAAAAAGAGCTGGGGTGGCTCAAGGTGTAGGCCGTGAGTTCAAACTCCAGAATCACCACACACACACACAAAGTAAATTCTCAGGACAATAGCCTCTTCTGTAGTCCCAGCTACTCAGAAAGCTGAGCAAAGCAGATCCCTTAAACCTAGGAGTTCGAAGACAATCTGGGCAATGTGGCAGGACCCCATCTCAAAACTAAGTAAGTGAATAATAAAATAAAATCCTCTGGCATCTAGTGCAACAATGAGTGATAAGAATTTCCCGAAGATAGAGACTCACTAGCTTTCCTTGAACCCTCTGGACACCTAGTACAGGTCTCAGAATTCCTTACTCACCGGCCTCAGCAAGGGGGGAAAGACAAATGCATTAAACGATTCTTAGGAGGGTCTGGGGTGGGATGCCCAGGAGTCCATGGTACTGTGAATAGAAACAAAGCATTGGGAGACAAGAAACATCTTCCCTAAGGCAAGGCTCAGCTTCTGTGAGCGGGCCAGAAGGGGAGGAGCTGTTGAAATAATGGTGCTAAGTTAGATGTCATTACACCACTCGCGGCGTAGCGCTCCTGCCTACTCCCTCTAGCTCCAACTCATTTACCGGATAACGCAGGCTCAGCCACCTCAAAGACCCTCCTTCCTCAGTGGAGCGATTGGTACAACCCAGGCTTCAGGAGCTGGAAAAAAACGAAAGACACGCCTATGGTCACGCCCCCGCTTCCGATTGGCTGGAGAATTTAAAGACCCGGCTGATGATAGGGTGATTTTCTGTCCTTAGTATTTGAAAGTTCCTAGTTTCTCAGCTACGGTGCGGGCCACTTCTGATCTTATTCCTCCGAGAGCCACGCAAGTGAGTGACTGTCCGAGCCCTCAGGTGGGAGGCAAAGAGCCTGATTCTTCCAGGGGTCCCCTCCGGGAGGGTGTAGACAGGTGGATCAGAAGAGGGGAGCACGGATTCCCGGGTCCAGGGGATCCCTAGTGAATTCCCTAGCCATGAATTCTCCACCCCATCCCCATCTTGGAGATGGAAAGCCCCAGGGCATCGGAATCACACTGACCTTGATAACCCACTAACCGTGTGACTTAGGAAGGGCAAATGAATTTGCCTATCCCAGCCGGTTTTCACTTCTGTAACAGTGAGACCCGACTGGCTATATATAAACCAATGAAGGTACCCGGAGATCGAAGGCACTCGGTACATGTCAGTTCCTTTCCCATCTCCCCACGTGCGATTCTTCCTGCTTCCTAGGGAGAGGACCTTGATGATTTCCTGTGCCGGCCAAGTGTCTCTTAAAGCAGGGACCACCTTCTAATGTGACCCTTGCAGGGCAACCGAAGCTCCACAGTCCCGAGAGCATTTGACGCTACCCATCCACAGCTCCAGGAATTGTGTGCATATCTAGAGTGAGTTTTCAGTTAGCCCCAGGGCACTTTTACAGCCACCGTGACTCTAGGTGGTCTTTTATATATATATATATATATATATACAATGATTGGGTCATTTCTACCCCCTTCCCCATGGATGGTCTTGACAGTGTTGTCCATCATGACCCCTATACCAATACCACCCCTTAGATTCCGAATTTCCGAGACTCCAGTTTCTTCGAAGAACTTCAGAGGAGGCTATGGTCTCGGGCACTGAGACAGCGGCAGCGGAATGTGAGGACGCGGAGCTGCGGTGCCGTGTGGCTTTGGAGGAGCTGAGTCCCGGCGGGCAGCCGCGGAGGCGCCAATTCCTGCGCACGGCGGACCTGAACCTCGGTCGCAACGAGCGCCGGGAGCTGATGCTGCGGCTGCAGGCGCCGGGGCCCGCGGGCCGGCCGCGCTGCTTTCCCCTGCGCGAGGCGCGCCTCTTCACGCGCTTCGCCGCGGCGGGGCGCAGCACGCTCCGGCTCCCAGCGGACGGGGCCCCCCCGGCCGGCGCCGTGCAGCTGATGCTCTCCGACTGCCCCCCGGACCGCCTGCGCCGCTTCCTGCGCACGCTGCGCCTCAAGCTGGCCGCTGCCCCGGGCCCCGGGCGGGCCTCCGCCCGTGCGCAACTGCTCGGCCCGCGGCCCAGAGACTTCGTCACCATAAGCCCCGTGCAGCCCGAAGAACTGCGGCGTGTAGCGGCCACTCGGGTTCTGGACACCACACTGGCAAAACAGATGGCCGAGCCCCGGATGGGGGACAAGTCCAGCACGGTGAGGACTGGAAAGGGGGGACGCCTTTGAGGGTGGGTGTGCTACTCTTTGAGACACAAACTACCCAAGGATGGGAGAAGACAGCGGCGGTATTGGGGGCCCTGCAGGTTGACCTCCGAGATGCCTATGGGACATCTGAATATGACGTCTGAGTAAGAATGTGGGAATCTGGGAAACATAGATAATAGACGGCAATTGAAAACAGGAAACAAGCGTTCAGGCCACATTAAAAGAGCAGAGGAGGCCACAGCAGGAGACTTGGAAAGGAAAATAGGAATAGTAGTCACCCCAGGAAAGAGCTGGTTTTGCAGAAAATAGTGGTTAGCAGTATCGGGGCAGCCCATTGTTCAGTCAGGTGAAGGGAGCTTCTTGTGGGTCATGGACCACACACACAGGGGCTTGGGACTAAGCTGGTGAGAAGCTAGAGATGGAGCAAGGTCCAGCCCTGGCTAGTCAGGGTTTTCCTTGGGTGTTTCGAGATGAGAGGTATGTAATAGGAAGAGAAGTGAGAAGGGAAGTTGTGTGACAGAACCTGAGTTAAGGAACCCAAGGGGGTATCCAGACTCCCTCCACACCAGGAGTCTTCAGGGCACAAGGAGAGGCCTGGATCTCAGTAGTCATTTGCAAGATCTTCAAGTGAACTAGAGCTGCCCAAGAATTCCAAGGAGTGAAGCCATCAAAAAGACAAAGGGCTACCAGGCCTGCATTGCACACAGGCCAAGGGTGGCAGGAGGCTCTGAGACAGCCCTGTTTTCCCCCAGGAAGCCCCAAAGTGGCCTCTACCTGTGAAGAGGCTGAGCCTATCCCCCAACAAGCCACAGCTCTCTCAGGAACAGGCAGCTGTGCTGAAGGTGGTCCTGAAGGGCCAGAGCATTTTCTTCACTGGGAGTGCAGGTAGAGATCAAATGGGACTGGAGGTGACAGTGGCAGGGTGGGATGGAGAAGCAGCAGCCTTGACTTTTCCCCCTGCCCAGGGACAGGGAAGTCATATCTGCTGAAGCGTATCCTGGGCTCACTGCCCCCAACAGGCACTGTGGCCACTGCCAGTACTGGGGTGGCAGCCTGCCACATTGGGGGCACCACCCTCCATGCCTTTGCAGGTAAATGGGAACCCCTGGGCTTGAGCGGAGAGAAAGGGAGAGGGAGGGAGAGACCAGGATTGACAGGGCTGGGAGCTCAGCCCAGGCTGAATAGTGTCACTCACAGGCATCGGCTCAGGCAAGGCTCCCCTGGCCCAGTGTGTGGCCCTGGCCCAGAGGCCTGGCGTGCGGCAGGGCTGGCTGAATTGCCAACGGTTGGTCATTGATGAGATCTCCATGGTGGAAGCTGACTTGTTTGACAAGCTGGAGGCTGTGGCTAGGTCAGTATGTGTGTGTGGTCTCCCAAGTGGAACCTGCCCACCCAGCCTCTAAAGCATTCCCTGCTCCCCTCCAGAGCTGTTCGACAGCGGAATAAGCCCTTCGGAGGGATCCAGCTCATCATCTGTGGGGACTTCTTGCAATTGCCGCCAGTGACCAAGGGATCCCAGCCCCCTCAGTTCTGCTTCCAGGTACCACTCACCTGCTGACCCTACCCTGCTGTGGGAGTCCCCTCTGCTCCCTGACTCACCCCCACCCTGCCTCCACCAGGCCAAGAGCTGGAGGAGGTGTGTTCCAGTGACCCTGGAGCTAACCGAGGTGTGGAGACAGGCGGATAAGACCTTCATCTCTCTGCTGCAGGCTGTGAGGCTGGGCAGGTGGGCCTTGGTGAACAGAGAAGAGGCCATGGGATGAGGATTCAAGCATGGGTCTGAGTGGAGCACAAGGATCCAGGGAAGCAGGAGAGATGCTGTCCTCAGGAGCAAAGTCTATATGGGAAAAGGAGCTCAGGCAGGGCACTGGGCCACTCAGACTATAGTCAAGAGCATCATGGCCAGGTGTGATAGTGCATACTTGTAATCCCAGCTACTCAGGAGGCTGAGGCAGGAGTATTGAGGGTTTGAGACCAGCCTGGGCTACAAAGTGGGATGCTGTTTCAAAACAACAACAGCAACAAAACCCTATAGAAACATAGGAAAGGTATTTCATTCAAGGCAGCCGCTGATCTGATGACAGGGTTGCCAGCATTACAGGGTATCAACCTGTAAACCTCTGGACTGTGTTCACTCATCATATCCAGCTTCTTTAGGAGCACTGTGGGGTAGGAGGGTAGCCAAGGGCAGATCAAAGGGAATGGGGCCCAGCTTTGATCACAGCAGCACCCCCACCCCATGCTCATTCTTCACGTCCAAGGTCCACGTGGAGAAGGGGCAAGTTGGCTGGCCTGGGGGCTAGCAAATCTTGCTCTTGTCCCCTTTTCTGGTCACTTGGCCTGCTACTCAGGTCATGCTGCCCTGTTCCCCACCTTCTTTGGTGTTCAGGTGAGTTCTGTCCTGACAGTCCAGCTTCCACAGGTGCTCTGATGAGGTGACCCGCCAGCTCAGGGGCACAGCTGCCCACAAAGTGGGACGAGATGGAATTGTGGCCACGAGGCTCTGTACCCACCAGGATGACGTGGTCCTCACTAATGAGAGGCGGCTGCAGGAGCTGCCAGGTAAGCAGAAAGCAAGATCAGCTGGGAGAGGCCATCAGGCAGGTGTGGCCCCCAGGCAGCCTGGGCCCATGGTGTCATTTGGCTCTTCAGGCTCCCAGCCTCTGTAGCCATAATCACCTTACATTTGCAGCTGTAACTGTGTCCCTAAGAGGTATGGTGAGCTGATTCCAAAACCCCAGCTAGGCCTGAGCTGCCCCCCCCCCCCCGTTCCCTCCCCGACACACCCTGGTCTAATACTGTGTTTTTAGAAGCTAAACTACATGTCAGTAATTCATAATCTCTTTTCCCAATTCTCCTTTCCCAGGTGAGGTACACAGCTTTGAGGCTATGGACAGCAACCCTGAGCTAGCCCAGACCTTGGATGCCCAGTGTCCTGTTAGCCAGCTCCTTCAGCTAAAACTGGGGGCCCAGGTGAGTGGGAATCTGAGCTGTCCTACATGACCCTTACCCCTCTGCCCAGGCCATTCTGCAGCCAGTGGGCCAAGCTGTGACCACAGCAAAACCTCCCTCTATCTTTCTGTCTTAAGCTTTCCATTGCCCCACCCCCACCCCGACACACACACACCTGGAGCTCCTCCAAGCAGTACTGGTTAAAGCTTAGCTGGTCTCTTAAAGCAGTGAAATAGCTCCCCCATGGCAGTCTTAGTGGATCTTATAGGTGGGCAGGTCCTGATTCCTCCCGCGATGGGGGTTGGGCCAGAATGGGACACTTTCCTTAGGTCCAGAGGGTACCCATTGGGAAATGATGACAATGTGGCTGAGAGGGGTGGCAGGACTTAGGACCATCCCTTAAGATCTGTGGCCTCCATAACAGACCCTTTGCAAAGCCCAGGGATGTAGGTTACCTTACCAGCTTTACCACCTTCTGTGGCCAGCTGAGCAAATGCTGTTCCCTTGTGAAAAAAGGGGAGCTGAGACCCAGGAAAATAAAAAAGCGGTCAGCTGATGGCACAGCAAAGGATTGGGACTTGGTGCCTTTTCATGACCCTCCAAATAGTGCTGCTGAGAGGGACCAGGCCCAGGGACGGTCCCACTCCTACACGACCCCTTCCCCCGCAGGTGATGCTGGTGAAGAACTTGGCGGTATCCCGGGGCCTGGTGAATGGTGCTCGGGGGGTGGTAGTTGGATTCGAGGCTGAAGGGAGAGGTAAGCCAAGGTGGAGGGGGTTATGTTACTTGGGTTTGTAGCAGGGTAAACCCATAGGGTGAGTAGGTGGGAAAAGGCTGAAGGTCTCTGCTCCCCCCTCACCCATGAAGCATGGCTGACTTCTCCATGCGTTCCTCAGGGCTGCCCCAGGTACGGTTCCTGTGTGGAGTCACTGAGGTCATCCATGCTGACCGCTGGACAGTGCAGACCACTGGGGGCCAGCTCCTCAGCCGGCAGCAGCTGCCCCTTCAGCTGGCCTGGGCGATATCCATCCACAAGAGCCAGGTGACTACTCAGTGCACAGGGCAGGGCAGAGTGGACAGGATATGCCCAGGACGTGTTGGGTGTGCGGGCTTTGGATGGAAAGTTCCAGATCAGGAGCAGAACTAACCCCTTCCCCTCCCACCCCAAATAAACCTTTCTTTAGTGAATTTCCCAGTCTACCTCCTCCTCTCCTTTTCGGGATTTTTTTTTTTTCTTTTTTTTTTGTGGTAGTGGGGGTTGAACTCAGGACCTCATGCCTGCTGGACGGCATGAGCTACTCCACCAGTCCTTTTTTGTGTTGAGTAGTTTTGAGACAGGATCTCTCAAATTATTTGCCAGAGCTACCTTTGAACCTCAATCCTCCTAATTTCTGCCTCCTGAGTAACTAGGATTATAGGTGTGAGCCTCTGGCACTCAGCTTCCTATTTTACAGAGGAGTAAACCACAGGGCTAAGGAATGTGTCCAGGGTCACGCAGCTACTGAGTGGCAGAGCCACGTTTCGGTTCTACACCTGTCTGACCCAGAGACTAAGCTCTTATTCTGGTCCTCTCAAATTCAGGTCCCATCTTCTGTCAGGCTCTCCCTGTGTTAGAGACTTTCTGGCCTGGGCAAGGACAGCCAGGAGCAGTAGCTGTCTAGTGAAGGATGGGTCTCTTGGTTGCAAGAGACTTCAGGCTAAGCTGGCTCTATCTCTGTCCCTCCATCCCCCAGGGCATGTCTCTGGATTGTGTGGAGATCTCTCTGAGCCGTGTGTTTGCAAGTGGTCAAGCCTATGTGGCCCTTTCCCGGGCTCCTAAGCTTCTGTTCCCTAGTGAACCAAGACCCAGGGAATAACTAGGGGAGGGGGCCCGTGTCCCTTCCTCTATTCCTTCCGGGCTTTCAGTCTCATGACAGTGTTAAAGGGACAGTGCTTCCCACTTACCAGCTGTGCCTCAGTTTCTGCCTTTGTGAGCCATTTCCAGTGTCACAAGTAGTTCTTTCAGTGCCAGTTGGGAATTGGTACTTGGTGTCAGAGGACAAATCTCTCTGTGAGAGGTGGACACCAAGCCACAGAGTCTTGAATACCCTTTCTTCTGGGCTGCAGAGGGGAGAGGCAGGGAAGACAGGTGTTCTAGGAGCAGCACCAGGCCTCTGTGGCAGGGGACTATCTTAGTCCTTTTTGTATTACTATGACAGAATATCCAAGAGTTGAGTACTTTGAAAAGAGATTTAGTTAGCTCACAGTTCTGGAGGTTCAAGAGCATGGCACTGCTTGGAGGAGCTTAGCTCTGGTGGGACCTCATGGCAGATAGCATCACATGATTAGGGTGCATGTGAGCATGATGACATACAGAGACAAGCAGCAGGAGATGGGCAGGGAGTCAGGTTCACACCTGTAATCCTAGCTACTAAGGAAGCAGAGATCAGGAGGGTCGAGGTTTGAAGCTAGTCTGGGCAAAGAGTTTGAGAGCCCCTATCTCAAAAATAGCCAATACAGAAAAAAAAAAAGACTGGTGGAATGGCTCGAGTAGTAAGTATGAGGCCCTGAGTTCAAACCAAAAAAAAGATGAAGAAATGAAGAGGGTCCGGGCTCCCTCTTTTTATAATAACTGATCTGGAGGAACTAATCCTCTCCTGACACACTCCTGTGAGACAGCATTAATCCACCCATGAGAGCAGTGCCCCATGACTTAATTACCTTTCACTAGACCCCACCTCTTAACAGTTACAGCGCCTCAACACCACCACCAAGTTCCCTGTATCTAAACCCATAGGGGATAAACATATCCAAACCATGGCAGAGTCCTAAAGAGGATTCAGGCCAGGTACAGGCCCAAAACAGAATGGAATTTGAGTTATCTCCACAGCAAGGTTCAGCCTAGCACAGCCCAGAACAAACACCCTGCTGAGCCTGACCTGAAAACAGACATTGCAAAATGTGTGCACATTATTTGAAGCTGCTTTTTTTGGGGAGAGATGTTTGGGGGCACTGAAGTGAATGTTATCAGGATGTATTTATTTAGGACAAATAAACTTGTGAATTGCATAAGAACCATGCCTCTGGCCTCTTCTCTCCCTCACTGAGCTGTGTTTACACCATGATGGCTGAGATGACAGCACCACATGAGAGGTTTCATTTAACCTCACTGGTCACTGGGAAAGCTGAGTTACCTCAGGTTGGTGACTAACAATGAAATGACAAGATGAATCACCATCATCCAGTAGTCAGACAAGGACACACTAGAGAATTTCTTAGTTTGGGCCTTGCTGGGGCTCCAGCATGGACATTCTGATGGGGAAAGCTCGGTCATTAACATACTATCTTTGGTTTTTCAAAAAGCATGATGGGAATTGCTCAGGAGTCCTCCTAGGCTAGCTACCACTGTTAAGGTTCCCTGCTTATAAGTGAAAGGCATCAATTCTGGGCAATAAATAGGGGGTACAATGGAGGTATGCCCATTGGCAGCTACAGGTGTCTTTGATTAATAAGAGAACAATGGCTACTTAAATGGAAAATCACCAATGCAAGAGGTGTTGAACATATAATATCTGCTGGTTGCTGAAAGGCACTAAATCTGTGTGCTCAAAGAGACTTATTTCTGTCTCCCAAAAAAAGCCCACAGAGGCCCCAAGGCACAGTGCATAGGTATGCAGGAAGAGTCTGGGTTAATGCACACAAATTAGAACACAGGTGAGCCTTGCTCAGTTCTGAGACAGTGAAGGGATTTTCCCAGAAAGTAACACATTCACATGACCAGTTATATAAATCTAAATGCAATAGGCTTTGAGATGACATTCTCCACCTCTATGAAAAGATCAGCATTACTTTAAGTTCAATCATATCTTTAGAAAGGGAAAACACAGTATTTACAGAACTGGAATTAATATTAAAAAAAAAAAGACATTCACTTTATTAGGACTGGCCAACAAAAATACTCTGTCAGACATTTGTGATCTGAATTCTGGTGTATGAGATCAACTAAATTATGGTACACAAAAAAGCCTTGAGAGAACTGAAGGTTTATCTCAAGCAGTAGAGTGCCTGCTTTGTGAGTGAGTACAAAGCCCTTAGTTCAAACCCAGGCCCACCAAAAAAAAGCCATGAGAGATTTCTGTTTTGTAATAAATAAGGCAGTGGCTATTACTCATTAGTAACTTTTTTGAGATAAGCTATTATGATTGCTTCCTTCCTTACTTCCCTCCTCCCTCCTCCCTCCCTCCCTCCCTCCCTCCCTTCTTCCTTAGCGCATCACGCTTGGTAGTCAGGCATTCTACCACTTGATCCATCCTTCCAGCCCTTTTGCTTCCAGTTATTTTTGAGAGTTATTTTTGACTGGCCCAGCCCCAGACTAAGATCCTCCTACCTACTTATACCTCTCAGTAATTGAGATTACAGATATATACACCACACCTGGCCTTTTTTTTTTTTTTTTTTTTACTTATTTGTTAAGATGGGGGTCACACTAGCTTTCCGTCTGGGCTGGCCTCAAATTGTAATCCTCCCAATATCTGCCTTCCAAGTAGCTGGGATTATAAGTGTGAGCCAATGTGCCTGCTCTCCCTCCTTCTCTTCTTCTTCGGACTGGGGTTTGAACTCAGGGCTTCACATTTGCAAAGCAGGTGTTCTACTGATTGAGCCACACCTCCAGTCCATTTTGCTCTGGTTATTTTGGAGATGGGTCTTGAGAACTATTTTTCCCAGCTAGCCTCAAACTGCAATTCTTCTTATCTCAGTCTCCCAGGTAGCTAGGATTACAGGCATCTCCCTTCTTCTCAATGCCAGCAAAGATTATTTTTGTTCCAATGATACTTTTTGGGGATTTTCCAAGTATTCCTGCAGTATACCATCTCTCCAGGTGGTGCCTTCATTCTCACTGGCAACACAAGTAAAACGAAAGCACTCTGGGTAAAATGCAAAAAACTTCCAGTACTGGGGGGAGGGTGTTGAGCTTTTCCCGGGAAATAGCCACAACCAGGATTAAGGGATGGGTAACAAAACTTCAGTTCCAAAGAGGGAGACTCACAGGAGAACAGATGCATCATCCACCATTCCACCGGATAGCCCTCTGGGTATAATCTAAAAGGTTTTTTTTGAGAGTGCACTCTAATTGTGTGTGTGTGTGTGAATTTGTTTAAAGCATTGGGCAAAATTTAATTTGCTCCTGGAATTCCAGCTTGTTTTATTCGTACTTAAGTTGACATTTTTTTCTGGCATGCTTAATTTATAAAATTTGTGTGAGTGTGTGTGTGTGTGTGTGTATGTGTGTATGTAAGCACCTTCAAAATGGTTCTTAAACTGTTATAAGGTTAATGTGATGTGAATAATGAAAAAAAATAAGGTTAATGTTATATTCAAGGAACAAAAAACCAGGGAGTTTGTTTTAAAGATCTCTGTTATAAACTGCTTAAGCTTTTTACATATGAACATGTAAACATCTTGAGGATGGTTCTTATTATAGAGTCAATGTAAAAAATTATTACTCTGTTCTACTGCTACTTTTAAGAAAATCAGTTTTCAAACTTATTTCAATCAGGTCTCACTAGGATGTAGGCATTCAGGGGTTAGCACTCTGGTCAGACCAGAGGAAAAAAAGAAAAAGAAAAAAAATGGGGGCCACAGCCTGCAGCAGAAATCTTAAAATTTGGGTAGTTAAAAAATTTACCTTAGCCTGTTTCACTCTGTTGTAAATAAAATCTGGGTCTGTTAACAAATAGGCTTTCAATAAATTGTTTTTATACAAAAAATAATTTTAGGGTTGCTTTCTGTTTTTTTCATGCAAATATAAGGCTGTAAGTTAAGAGGTTTTATGACTTATTTTCAACAAGTAACAAATAAATATAGATAGATAGAGACAGAGAGAGAGAGAACATTAAGGATATGGTTTTTAAAAATAAAAGGTTAAAAAATACTTTTAAATAAAAAAAAGGATAAAGACAAGCTCCCCCAGGGGAAACAGAGTAAGTTGTCATAAAGGTACAAAGTAAATTGTCATAAAAAGATGGAGCATATAAATGCTTAAGTAAGTGATAGAGTTGATTAAAATACAGTTACATTAAAGGTTTTATAAGGTCAAAATTTAATGTACTGATGTTAAACTAAAACTTAATTCTCTAAATTTATAACAAGGCTATCTTAAAAACATATTGTTCTTGATAACATTTTAAAAAAACTATCTTAAAAATGGTTTTTGTTTTGTCAAGAAAACTGTCAGGAATTTTTGCTACAGGTTAATCCACAAGTTATCAAGACAATAAGAGTTTATTAAAACACAGAGAGGCAGGAGGCAGCTGAGCACAGGGAGAGCTGCTGTACTAATATGAGAGTTGAGACAGATTTACTTATGTAAAGTTAAAAAAAAAAAAGCCAAAGTGTACCCTTCAGGATAAAGTAAAAAAAAAAAAAAACTCAAAAAGGAGCACACACTGGAGGTCAAGTCCTCCAGTTTTTATAGGAGTCAACAGAATGGAGATGTTAGTTCTACTCCTTCCACATGTGAGGTTGAGGGAATTTTGGGCCTGGGATGGCCAGATTGGGCTGTTATTTTAGGGGGGCTCCATTGACTACAGGTTGGTGGGATCCTGCTGTATGTCATGAGCCATCTGTTAATGTCAACAATCTGGAAATATGATCCCTTAACAACATTTAAGCCATGATTCTTGGCCATTAGGTTTCCTAACTCCACACTTAGTCCCCATAAATATTTACCTGTATTCTCTGATGATTTTTGTCAGGGTTTTGACTACTAAGGTAACTGAGTCATAGCTAAATAAAAGCTCACTTAAGAGTTGGTTTATGTAAAATTTTCTAGATGACCTCATGGTTAAACAACTGTTGTCTTGGGTGAGTCTAATGCAGTCGGTACACTATATGTGTCTGTGACTGGGCTATTTGGAGTCACTGTTCTCCCTCCTACCAACTGATGAGAAAGTCTAAGGCTTTACTTCAAGAGCAACTAAACTAATATGTATATATTACCTCTATAGAGCTGTGATGCTGTTGCTGGTTCCTGTATACTAAATATATTTATGTTTTTCAAGTATATCAAGCCTTCTAAAATACAAAATTTAGATTAACATGGTAACAAAAAGTTAATGGTACTGATATACTGTTCTGTTTGTTGTTAAATTGTCCATCAGAATTTTAACCATGGCTCTTAAGTTTTTGTCATTACAATTCTGATCTTTCTGGGGCATTTACCATCAAGTCCATAAAAAATGACTCTAATAAGTACTTATATGTCAACCAGGTTAGCTTTTTAGACGTTTGTTTTTGTTGGATTTTGTTTTGTCCTTGTCTAGAAGCCCGCTGCCTAAGAGCCACTCCTTCCAAGTCTCTTTGTTGCTTAAATTTTGCCAAAAGGTTTAGGTTGGCACTGACTCCCACATGATCTGCTTGTTTACTTCCCCCTCTTCCCCATTCCCCTCCATTCCCCCCCAACACATGGGACCAAAACCAACCAACCAAACAAAAGTCCAGAAAAGAAGAAATCCTCACGATGAGGATTTCTTCATACCACTCTGAACACGCCCAATCTTGTCTGTTCTCAAAAGCTAAGCAGGGTTGGTCCTCATTAGCACTTGGATGGGAGAAAGATCTACAGAGGAGACTGCTCAGAGACAAACAGTTTGGAAACAAGGGGGGAATGCCATCAAAGTTCAAATGGAGTCACTTGTGCAAGACCTCTCAAAAATACCCAAGGCCAAGAGGATTGAGAAAGTGGTTCTTATACACATGTGGCTATCTGGCATTAAAGCCCTTCCAGACACAAACTCATATTTTTAGACAGGGTCTTCTACTTAAATAGAGATAAAATGACTATTTTTACTGGCTCTAAATATGTCCTTTGATTCTTAAATATGTGGTTTTTAACTTTTTTTAAACAATTAATTTTCTTGGACATATATACTGATAATATATTG